TCTCATCATCAATACAAATAAAAACAAATTACTTCAATCAGCATATGTAATTAAACTGATTTTGAAATTTATCAAGGTCATAAAACGATTGCAATTATATATCAAAGCACAATTTGGGACATTTAACAATAGTCATACTTCTTTTTTGTACGTGAGAATTTTGATTTATATTTGAATTATGTCTTACACTTTCATTTGGAGCGAAAATGAAATAGAAATATAACGTCACTCATTTTAAGACCATCTTTTTTTCAAAAATTTTTTTTTGGGTTACAATAAAATTTACAACAAAGATGTATAGATCTAGAATATAGTTCTAAGATAGAATATAGTTTCGTGTGATGTGATGTAACACATGTAATAATTCTAATTCAAACAAACAACTATCGGACTATGTTCAGTAAAATTCCACGTTAACTCTTAAGTATGAAAATATGTTTTATTTGTTACTATTTTTCTGAAATTTATTGCTTTTTGACCCTTGAGCGAGGTAAGGCGAGACAGGCAGAGGGTGGCAAAAAATCGGCCTACATCTCGACGATTTTTTACAAATATTTTATTGTATGTTACCTTGATCTGGTATTTCGAAAGAAAAATTTATCAACAAAGGTAATTTTTTTTTCAACTTAATTTATTTTTTTATTTACTATTTCTTGTTGTTTACAGTTTTACCAGGGTAAAAGATTAGTTGGTCTTTTTTACCCCGCCCCGATTGTAAGCATTTTTATATAGAGGTGATATAAAGAAACTGTTGAATTTAACTTCAAAATAATACATCATACAAAATGAAAAAATATACCTAAAAATTATATTGAGGTCTCGTTAACTAAACAGTGCTCGGAACCAAAAAAAAAAAAACTAGCAACGAAAGCATATGCTTCTGTTATAGATTTTCAAACAATGCTTTTTATCTTCTCATAGCGTCGTCGGAAGAATCAACGTGATGGCTGATTATACATCTTTTGCACTCTACTTCCAATTGTTATTAAAAAAAATCATAACTTTACTGGTTTGTGAGATATCGATCGTGCACCTTTTTACCCACGGACCTTGAAGCCCCGCTCTACTCCATCTATGTGAGAAATTTTATATTTTAGTGCATCTTCGTTTATCTAAAATATAATACTAATAGCAAAGTTGACCAGCTTCCCTATTATTTCTAGCACGTTACCGGGACTACGGGGTAAGTCGAAGTGTTTCATAATTCATTCTAATCGCGCAATCTAAGCTTATTGAATCCGTTGCAAACGTACAGTTTTACAAATGCCTTGGACTATAAATACGAACGCGATGTGATGCAATGAGAAATATAGGGTTTAAAATAGATTATTCGATATGATAAATTTCATAAAAGTAGAATTACAAAAATAAATCGCGCAGATTGGAATATAGGATTGCGATCTTGGTTCGCAAGTGCTCGTATAACAGTACAGCTGCAAAGTTTAGTGGAACTATATAGTTTTCAAGAGTGAGTTTTTATAATAAAAATAACACGCTTGTTGAGTTTTTTAATAGAAATACGTTTTTAAAGTAGGTCAAAATAAAATTATTTACATACATTTTGCACTTATGCAATTTCATTCTCAATCAACGAAAGTTTTCGTTTCAATCCCCTGGGCTCGAAACATACTCTACATTTTACAGTTTTATTACTCATATTTAAATATACAATTAATACTTTCTGTCTAGCAATTATAACTAGATATCAAGGTGAAAATGATCATTTTAATTTTTGGTGAAAAATTAAAGGATTATGATAATAAAAAAATTGTGAACTCTAATATGAAAGAAGCAAAAAGAAATGAAATTTTGCATTTTTTTTCATATCTCTAAAATGCGTTAAATGTGGTATACAGTTAATTTTAACACGATGTCTGATGAAAATTTCAAAATTGTTTATAAAGATAAACAATCAATTATTGAGGTTTAATAGGTGTATCAAGGCCCTTGGTTTTTTCTTATTAATTGGATGGATGAGTGTCTGTATAAAAACTATACTCTTGCATTTTTTTACCATTCACCACAAAATCATTAATAAACCAATTTGACATACGATACATAACTATTAGAATCAGCTTTTAAATCAAACGTCTATAATATAAATAATAAATTATTGAAATAAATTTTGAGTGGCTCTGAGTATGTTCCAAATTAGTTGTTGATTCATAAATTTACTGATAACAGCACTGTAAACAATAAAATGATAACTTAATCAGCTAGTACAAAAGCTGCCTCGAAGATCTCCACAAAATCACTTGCCAGTACAAAAGCTGCCTCAAAATCACTTGCCAGAGCTTAACCGGGACCAGATTAAAATGAAATTTTATTCTTAATATTTCAATCTCAAAATACTGTAAACGGACAGATAAGTTGATTTTTCTATCTTCAATAGCAATTAGAATAAAGAACTATGTTCTATGAGCTATTTAGTTCAATTTATTAACTCACACACATGCATTCACACTTGTAAACACTCACATGAAATTATTGTGCTAAATAAATCCGAAAATGATCTAAAGTCAAAATTTTTTATTCCTAAAATTTTACTTGTTATTCTTTTAAAATAATTGTAAAAATTATAATATAATAAAACATATTTTTTTACTTGAAGTACCATTGTATATATAACTAATATTTCCACAAAAAATAAGTTAACTTTTTGTAACAGGATATTTTCTGTTTTTTTTTTTTCAATATACAAAAATAATTATTAATCATTTGCATAGATCTGGTAACACTAATTAAAAGAACATATAACACTGATATTTCACAACAAGTAAGAACCGAGTCGAATTATCATTATTATCATACAACATATAAATTTCGAAGTGCACCGACGATAGTTTTCGAGTGCAGAACGATGCAAAAATTCTTGTCGAGCTTAAAGTTTTGTACGTTTATTTCTTTTTAGAATGTTATCCGTGCTCTTGTTGCAAAATAATATACTTATGTAATTGTAGAAATATCCGAGCAATTTTACTGGAGCGCTATGAGATCATTCAGAAAATAAAAATAGAAAGAGGAAACATCCAACTGCGAATGCAAACAATGAATGCAAATTGTTGAGGATCACGGATCACCGGAATGTTCTGCTAAAACGAAGGCGGCGGACACTAGAAACTACTTAAAATTGACAATGCATTTTTCATTTGAAAAATTCATTTATATTAATGAGAGCATTTAGATGTACGTGGATAAAATTGAAACAAAATTGAATTTAAACCTTGATTGAAATATAGGATGAATTATAGTGTTTTGGCTGTTTGTAGTACCATTCCATATGGAAAACATAGTAACATAGTCTTGCCATAACATTGTTCTATTTTACCGCAGAATCGGCCCCAAAATCTATAAAGGTTAAAATAAAATCTAATGTGATTATGATTCTATAATTCGTCTCATTTAATTCTTTAATTATATATCCCAATTAGGGCATGTCTTAATTAATCAATTTCTGAATGGTGCCCCATAATTAAATACACATACTCGTCTGCATATGTGTGCATCTGCATAAGCCCGCATCGGATTAAATTCGTAAGTTCGCGCTACTTCGCGCCTCCTTTGAGAACTAAATCTTCGAGATAGCGCTCCGAAATGCATGGGTAGTTATACATCTTCATTATAGACTAATTGCACAGACGAAGAAAAAGTCTTCGGCGTGTGACAGCATCACTAATTAGATGCAAGAGGCATAGAGAAACGTTTTATAAACAACGATTTCTTTAATGAGGATCCTAAGAGAAAAATGTTCAATTATATTTCAATCATTATGGTTAATCATGTTGAGTTATATAGGAACCATGTAGAAACTAAGCTTATTAAACCAGATTTAAGAAATGTGCCTTCACGTCTATAGCTAAGATGTTCGCCAAGTACTGTTCCATGTGGGATTCAGCAGAAAAAATGTATAAACATATACTAGAGGTGTAAAAGTAAATCCGGACTAGTGCACGAGAATTCTCAAAATTTTGCTAACAATTTCTCAAAGTTTTGAGAACAATTTATACTAGATGTAACTGTCATTTTGCCTCAATTCAAATTGCAAGAACTTGGACCTTATATATGGATGAAATATTTTATAAAAATGTGACCTCGTTAGCTCTCAAATATTGAACTGCATAAAAACGCGCTTAGAACATACATACTACCATTATACATATACCATGATACTCATCTCGAAGAAGTTCAAAGAGTTGTATTGGCTAATTGGTAGGAGTTCAAATATGTGCTATGAAAACAAACTCCTTTTATATAAAACAATAATTATCCCAATCTGGACATACGGAATTGAGCAATGGGCGTGCGCAAGCAATTCAAATATAAAAAATACAAATAGCGCAATCAAAAATTTTAAGATGCATTGTAAACGCACCCTGGTATGTTACAAATGATTCCCTGCATAAAGACCTTCAAATAAAAACTATTAATAAAATGACAAAAGAAAGGAGCAAAAAATACCACGAAAAACTACCAGGTCACCCAAACATATATTTAAAAGAATTAAGCGAGGAATATCCCACACGAAGATTGAAAAAAAATGGCCATACGATCTTAAATAAAATGTCAAAAAATAAAAAAAGAGAGATCTCATAGGAGATAATCTTTTAAATGCATTAACACCCAGCATATTGTCTTAAGAAATGTTTATTATTTTGATTGACAATAAAACTATGCAAATAAAAAAAGAACATACATCCCAATAAAACGACTTAATATATAATATTTAAATACGTTCGTTTAGAAAATAAATCTATCAGTGTGCGTAAAAATTTTATTAGTTTTAAGAGTTTCATTAAATCTATCATTTTTTTTAACATTTCATTATGAAGAAACGGCTCAAGGGACCGTAAAAACGTGTAGCCATGCACAATTAGGTTTTAAATGCAGTTGAATTTGTTATAGTTTGAACAGGGCAAATTAATTTATTTATTACATATATAATATATGACTTGAACTTTTATTAGAAAATGTTTTATCTTAAAAAGATTTTTTCTTTCCAGCTGGATCAGTTTACTGTGAAGATTGCGGGCAGGAAGAATTATCCCAATGTGCGCGGCCACTTCAAGTTTTATCATCAACAGCTGAGCTGTCTTTTGTCACTAAAAAATCAGAACTCGATCAACTGTGTCCGTAAGTTACATTTCATATATTGTAAAAACATAAAATATTTTTTATAATATTTCATGAAAAAACAAAACTTATCAATCAAAAATTTTATTTTCCCGAAACGTTTTTTATTTTCATATATTGGGAAATTTTCGAGGCCATTTACACAAAAAATGGTTATCAAGTCTCTAAAATTTCTTCAAAATTGATAAAAATAGGTTTTCAAATAATTTTTTTTATTATTATAGAAAACGCTAATGTTGATTTTAAATATAGACATTGGAAACTCAGGTGTTCAATGTTGACATAGGAAACTCAGAAACCTATTATATAATGATATCTTAAAATAATCTGTGGAAATTAGTTTCGTAAAGTTTCTCTCATAGTTGAATTATTCCACTTAATGATGCGTTGAAGTAGAATCATATGTAGTCTCTAATTATATATGTTCACAGCTACATTAGTATCTACTACTAATTAACTATAAATGCGTATTTGAATTTATTCATAGAATTTTTTATTTTGCCATAATCAAACCAGAAATATAAACCAAAATCATTCGGTAAAGTGAAACTATCACTTCTGAACTGGGTCCTTTAAAAATATTCAATACTTTTAATGTAACATGATGCGTAGACCGATTTAAAGCTAGTATATTAGTTTAAAGATTTTATCGCAATTTTTAAACAAATCTTTGAAAATTTAGTTTAATGAAGCCGTGTATAAATAATACATCAGATTCGACGTTTATATACCCATTTTCATCTTTCAACTTCATTATCGTAATGACTTCTGTAAATAAAAAATGAGCTAGTGGCTTATGGCATTTTACTTTGAGGCAATAAAATAAAGAGAACAGTATTATTTATCTTTAGCAAAAAAAAATTGTGTTAATTTTTTTTTGCTATTTAATCAAATTCATATTTTATTTGCTTATGCATTTGCAATGAAATTGTAGTATTAATATTTTAAATAATAATATAAATAGATAAAGTTCTATTCTAATAATAAGATAAAGTTCTTATATAAATATTCAGAAACAAGAATAACTACTTAAAACTATACTCAATGTAGTAAGTAACTAAAATAATAATTAGTTTGAAGTGTCGTAACTATTTTACTCTCAAATATAATGACTTACTTGGTAAAATTTAATGTCATTTAATTTGCATTATGTATTATTCATAAAATAATTAATATTATAGTTATCATATTTAAAATCTTGTAAATATTATTGGTGATCAATATTTTTATAAATCATAAGAAAATAATGCTATTAAATTTTTATATTTAATACTCAAGGCTGAAGTTGAAGAAAATAAATAACCCGGTTCAGGACAAATCAGGAAAAGCTAGCTTTGCTTATCTTATTTACAAATTTCTATAAAAAACATCACTTATACTTAGTAATCAAGATATATTTCAGGGCGATTTTTTAATAGATAAAAACAAACGGGTGAATTTCAAATAAGACAGTACAATCGATTCTTTAAGAGTTCATATAGATTCCAAACCCATTGAGTGCCTTTTTAGACTGCTTGTTATTCCAAGTTGCTTTCTTTATCCAGCTAGTTTCGAAGTAAATCCTTAGAAGTAAAAGCTTGCAAGGACTTGCATTTTTTTACCAAATGTCACTCTTTGTGTTACTATGTCCATTGTTTAATGGCCTTTTTATGTAGAAGGCAAACCTGGATGCAGTTCTTTTACGATCTGCTTATATATTTCTAAAATCTTTATCATGGAAATTTTGTTTGACCTGTTTTCATCCTAGTGTTAATATTTCCTAAAGACTTGAGACCCAGATTTGATTTCTTGGAAGAAGTATACCGAAAAGTTTGTATCGTAATAATTCCATTGAATATAGTTATTAATAAGCTAATTCAGCGAAGATGTTTCAGAAAACTTCTGACATGTGGTGCTTAAAGCAATTGTGCAATAAACGTTTAACATTTTGATATTATTTAAATGAACAAATAGTTTTTACATTTAGGTTATTTTTTTTCTATACTACATTAGCAATTCATAGTGACACAATAAGTTTAAAAACATAGACACGCAGGAGGTGCTTTGCTTGGAAAAATTTAATTTTCTAGGTCTATTACAGAATATTACGAGTAAAAACAAGCTACCAAAAACGTACTGTGTTAAGTTATTTAATTATACTTAACTGATCAAGAAAATATTATTGTTATTTTTACAATTTCGAATCACAATTGCCAATACGAATATAGCAATCTTTTTCATACAAATAATGCAAACAATCCTCACATTTTCTACATAGCTTTTTGTGGTTGTGCATTCATAGTGTGATTCTAAAAGGCGCCTAATGAATTTATGACAATAGTGCATTACCATCGTATCGGGCTGTCATAAACGTAGTTGAAATTGTGAATATTATAGTACGATCATGTCTATGAAAATGATTCATGGATACAACCAATGTACATAATTCACATTAACATTTCACAGATGCCAATATGCACATTTATTTTGCAGTAATTAGGTTTCTATAATTTTGTTAAGCATAAACATAATTTATTCACACATAAAAAAAATTCAAGATTTCAAACTACAAAATTTGTTTTTAATAATAAATTATTGATGAATATCAATCATAATTCTAAATATAAACATGTATCACAAATTGGCTTTATCAATGAGTTAAGAAGTAATAAACTATTTTATTAGTTTCATTTTATTTCATTTGTACCGACATCTACTAGACCTAATAATATACTACAAAAATTGATATTGATGATAATAGAACTTTATGTTTTTAAGATCAAATCAATCAATTGAACGTAATTGACATTTGGAAATTCTAGATATAAATATATTCAAATTCATGCCGAAAGTATGTGTATCATCATCAAGTATAAGAAAATGTTCTTATACTTAAAAATTAATATTGGTTTTGTTCAGATTAAATTTAATGAAAACTGTGATATATCTGGTCGAGATTTTTGTTGGCATTGATTAGACTACAGTGGAAATTACTGTATGGGATTTTTCGTGATTAACAACGAAACTAATTATTTGGTCAATTTCTGAATTTTAAGATTGTTCGACTCTATTTCTTCTTTATTGAATAATCCATGTAACTTGTCAGTATAAAAACAAATACCTTATATAGAGGTAAAAACCAATTGAACCTAGGTAATATTATTATCTGCTTAAGTACTTTTTGTTAACGATTATTAATAATTTGCAAAATTGGCAAAACTATTGTTCATGGAATATAAATTTTGTTTACTAAAATTACAAATCCATCCAAAATATCTTAAATTAATATTGTAGTTTAATGTGGTGTATGTTTGCTGTCATTAAACTAATAATAATACTTCCCTCAAAACAAGTTATGACGAATTTTTTAACAGGATTTTTTTAAATGTTCTTCATTTGAAAAGTAATTTAGAATATCCTACACAAAATTTTAAAGATGTGAATATATATACATATATATATATATTTTATATATATATATATATATATATATATATATTTCCTTTAAAGACTCAAATATTAAGTAATTAAGGAAGTGAGCAGTTCTTCGTATTATTATTCAATATGAGTGTAAACTTATAAAAATAACATTTTCAAAATGGATTGCCTCTGATATACCACATTTCCGAATGAAGATAATCTTGCAATTATTTATTATGATACTGTTATAAAACCTTTTGAGTGAGATTGATACAAATATAATCCAGAGGAACACATCCGAAATAACAATGACTTGGACCCAATCTGTTCGCAAATTGAACGATCATCTTTCTAGATGTGGGATATCACATAAACCCATAAATACAATTGCTACAAATTTTGCGTGAACTTGTGTATATGAAATAGACTATATGTTGTATAAATAAAATTTCAGTTCATATATAAATATATGTAATACTTCAGGCAATGCATGCATATAGAGCGAGATATTTAAATTTCCTGATAAGAGTACACAAACAGCGAATAACGAAATACATTCATTTGTATTTTCTTGTATACAAATATTTTATCAAACTTTTCTGTGATATTGTTGATTCTGTCCCGTAATAGGATATTGACTCAAAATTCATCGTATATTCAAACTCCACATCATGCAGCAGTTATTTCAATTTTTCACTTCCTAGTGTAATATATTTTTTAAATATACCGGAAGACAACAATACATTAGGTATATTATATTAAATATTACGTACTCTCAGCATAAATCTTGCTGTGATGGTATGATAAATTTTATATTCAAACATGTTTTGTGTATTGTGTTTTGAATAAAATGCCGATATTACCTTTAGTATTTCGTATTTTTCATCCCTTGGTCGTACTAAATTATAGTCAAAACTATACTATCTGTAATTAATTGATGTAAATCAAAATAACTCATAGCATGTAATTAATGATGTAATAGTAACTAATTGTCACTATTGAAAAAAATAAAAAAAATCTATTGGAAAATGACATTTTTTAAAATCATACAATATAATTCTTTTTTCCATCAAATCATTCTCGGAGTCGAAAAATACATACTCAAAATTTATATTTGAGCTTGTCAGTATGTATCTGAATTATGAACTTACATTGATCAAATAGTTTTAAATATGAGAATTCTAAAACATATAGTGCAATTTACTAACGTTATGAAAATCTCTAAGCTTCTGAACGAAACACATATTTATAGCCCCACAACTCATAGTGAATTTGCGAAATTAAAATTTTATTCCATATCTTGGCACTCCTTCCATCCTTTACGAATGCAAATGTGAAATATTTTAGCGAAATTACCAAAACTTTAGCGCAATTTCATTAATTATAACATGTTGCTGCTCTTATTAGCCTGCATGCAGTACTCTTCATTTGCTCGGAATATATATATATATATATATATATATATATATATATAAATTAGAGTAGATTAACTTACTTATTAAATTATAATTACAATTGGATTAATTCAGTTGTTTGGCAGTTACGAGTACTTTATTGATCTTTTAAGTGAACTATCATATGCTAATTCCAATTTGAAGAAGTATTAAGTTCAGCGGTATTAAGTTTTTTTAGTCATCCAGTCTATCAGTAAAACTATTAAAAATTAGTAAATTTTCAATAATAAATTGCTCATATAGTTGGAACTACCCTTAGATTAGTTTGCAACAGCTTTGCACTTGCAAGCACGAAGTTGCAATTATTTTACTAATCAAGCAGTAGTTATACGTGTACTTTTCCAGTTAATAATAGTAAATTAATTATGATTTTAAGTAAAAATTACTTTTTAGAAAATTGACTCAATGAATGGAAAACAAGATCATAATTTAAAATTTTCATAATTTTAGAACAGCCTTTCATATAATTAGTGTTTGTATAATGCACGTTCAACATGTAATATATAAAAAATCATAGTTTGAAAATTACAACGGGTATCATAATCAAATCACTATAACATACTAGGCGAAATTGGCATTTTATGGTAAAGCAAAACTTACAAAGGATGAGTCGATTTATAAAGGATGAATCGATTTATATAATCAACCATCTTTATTTTCAAGAATATTTATAGTCAGCCCAATTAATATAATCTTCAGTTATGTTATAAAAGAAGTACTTTAAATTAGTTGAAATTATCTGAATATATTTGAATAAATCATATTTTTTTAAAATAGAGAATATTGTTCCATTTCTCTCATAAATAAGTCATGAACGTTATTCTTCCTGCTACAACTTACACGCTCATATATTATTATATTTCATATCAAGTTTTTAAAGTTTACGTTGTTTTAAACTCTCAACGGGAAACTTTTCTTTATTGTTTTTTGTTTTGTTCGATAATGTGTTTATATGTGATATATATATATATATATATATATATACATTTATATATAAAAGTATGTAACATACATAAATCTCCTTACATATATTATAAGAAAATTATATTTTTATTTTTTTTAAATTATTTTTTTTTAAATTATCTGCCAATTTGTAAAGAATTCGGTTTGTATTCAAACAAGAAAACTTATTTTAAGACGAAAATTTTAGTATATTTTATTGTGACTTTTTTAGTGAAAATTTATTTTTGTCCGTATGTACCTCATTATTATTTTGCATCTCAGAAACTAATGTTTCTTGTCAATTCAATGTTAATGTTTTGCATTCACTTCACTGTCCAAATCGTATATGAGCTATTGCCCCAGTTTTCTTGAAAATCATAGACTTAATTGTTTCATATTTTCAATACAAAAGTACGTAATTTTTTAAAAAAATATTCTGATTTCAGATCTATGTATAAATTTACATTAATTTACATTTAACAATAGGTTTTTTATTAACTTTGAAACCGCCAACAAAAGAAACAAAAGAAAAATAGTTCAGTTCCTCACAAACTTATTTCTTGATTTCGTGCATTTCCATTCAAAGCTCAAACATGAAACTATCTCGTAGTGAAATTTAACACAAATAACTCTTTCTGCACACTTTCAACATGTGTCTTATGAAATATATCTTAGTCGAAACGTATTTCTCTTAACGTTCTGAATTTACATTTTGCACGCTCCACCGCCTTGAGTTATTAAATCAGAACTCTTTTGAGTATGGAAATAAGTTGCCCCGTAAATTGTGCTTGATAGTGTTCAAAAGGCCATATAATACACATGGCAAAATATGAGACCGATAAACGAGGAGATGGTCACGTCGGAAAAAAAAATTAGATGGTAAAAAAACTAAGAAAAAAGCAGAATTGATGCTAATTTTAAAAACTACTCTGAACACACTCCAAGTTTTATTAATTTCCCTTAGGGTAAGTTATAGTAAATGGGCGATTTTTGTTTATTTCAGTTTTTTTATTGAAAAAAAAATTTTTTTGAGTATTTGAAAATAATTCGGATTTTTGTTCTAATTCTACCTAAGTTCTTAACATCACTTATATACTTCAAATAAATAATTTTAACTTTGTAATTGAGTTTATATAGTTCTTAAAGATATTAGACAATATTCTTTATTTTGAATCCGATTGATTAAATTTTGTTTATTTACTTTTTATAAAATAAGAATATTGAAATCTACATTATTTATAATAATCTATTTAAAAACATTTATTACTCGAAAATTTCATTTAAGCACTGGAAATTCAAGCAATTTTTTTATGGCTCGATGCCATACATCACTAGTTTATACATAATATACAACAATTTTATTTTCAAACAAACTGTCTAGAATGCTTGTTCTGAATGTAATTCTGGTGAAAAATGTGTAAATTAATATTCTAAAATGCTACCCGAGTACCAAGTGGTTGATATTTTAAGTTTTAAAATAGATAAGAAGATTATACAGAACAAATAATGTTAAATTTAAATTACATGTGAACTATACTAAACCTGACGGGTTTAAGTCTTCTGGGAATCTTTGAAACTAGCATATTTTTCGTAAGTTAATTTGGATGGTTTTGCAGTCTTGTTTTATACTTGGATCAAGTCTTCTGATTTCTACTCATACTATATTATATAAATAAAAATATTTATATTATTCGGATTTTTTGCTTAAATCATATGAAAGTTTTGCTTAAGCCCATTGCACACGACGCCAGTATTCCTTGTTTTCTGGTAAGGTGAGCAAGAATTTTGCGTCAGATTTTCATTTATTTTATGATTAATAGTTATTGTGTGAATTTTCAAATAGATTATCATAAATATATACTGTGAATTTCACAATTCATATTTCATAGGCCTAAAATACACTATTGCTTATAAGTGAACAAACAGAGAATTGTATAAATTGTAAACAAAAATATATACGAGTATGTACCGCATCTGATTAGGATTGTGAAATAATAATAATTAAAAGTGTAATATTCAGTTTAAATAACACTTAGTTTAATATAACAATTATTGATTTTGAAAATCAGTATTTTTAGACAGAAATTATGTTTAAGGATACCGTCGTTGTGAATAGAGAGCTTAAACGTGAAATCTGGCTGGCAAGATCGAAAAATATGTCGAGCAAGATCGTAAATTATGATTTATCATATCGTTGCTGGTTAACAAACAGTGCGGCAAGAAATCTGGCGTCGTGTGCACCGGGCTTTATATTAAATAAATTTATCGGATACTTGTGTATATAGATTAATTTAAATTTTAAAATTTTTATCTGTTTCTTATATTTTCAGGGACCTGCATGCGGGCCTGCGTTGCATACACAGTTACACTAGAAGATGTATGTCACAGAAACAAAGAGCGCACTTTAATCAGCTCTATCACGGCACAAACACTGTAATCAACGAGCTTTGCGAAGACGGTCCCTATCAAGAAGGTAATATATAAACTTCAACTTTATATATTAGTCCCAACTACAGAAAGCGTCCCGATACAGCAGATTTTTTTTGGCAACAATGTATTATGTGCAGGATTTTGGGGAATTAATATGATGGTCCATTAAATAATTTTACTCCGTTTATTCCACTAATATTTTTGTAGAAAGTATAAATTTTTACAAATTTGAACGCTCGATTTTTGTAATCTGACATCACTGATAACATTTCAATCTAACATATAGGTTAAAATCAGCAATATTTTTATAGTATGTACTGATCACCACAAGATGAAATAATTGTGCTGCAGTGACATTATTTGCAAGGAAAGGAGATCCATTTTAAGGCACCGTTGTGTAACTTGATACCATTTATTTACTCTCTCAAATTTTATTTAAAACCTTGTAATTAGACTTTCTTTAGGAAAAATTTGGAAAGTTGAAGTTCGTGTTAATCCCATTGCATCTATAAATATTTCATTATAATTGTATATATTATTATTATTATTATTATCTTACTATTTCTATCATTGTTATTTTGTTATATTTTATTATTTTTCTAGTATTATTTTATTATTCAAAAATTTTTTTATATTATTTATTAATTTTATTTTTATTATTATTTGCTTATATTTTATATCAAATCATATTACGGATATTATTCTCATGTAAATTCTATCATTTGCACTTTTATTTATTTAAATTTATGTTATTATTTATCAATATTACTAGATGTTAATAATTTAACAATTGTAAAAATTATTGAAATTTAAAAAAAAATGTATATGCATGAACATATTCAATTTTAAATCCCAAAATATCTAGGTCAATCAACTCTAACTTATTTCTTATTATTAGGATTTATATAACCGTGCATAATAGAAAATAAAGATTTTTTTTATTAGTTAATATTTATTGAAGATTTTGGATAGAGCCATTTGGCATGATCGTCTTTCATAAATTTCCTTATGAAATAAAATTTCTTTTCATTCAAACAGAAATAATAATAAAACAAAGATTTCTTATTTCATTTTTGCGTGTAAATACATAAGTTAACCTATGCCCAAAATATTTAAACGTATATAGTTCTACACATATGCTTATTCATCTATGGTTCTACAGCTAATTCGCTAAGATGGATGATGTTGTTTTACTGCAACTGGAAAAAAATTTGATATCTTCTACACAGTATTAAAATTTCTAAATTTGTGTATGATTCAACTAGAAAACGTATTTTGGAGCCGAGATTGCTTGCAAAATCTGAATATTGCTATTTTTGGCTGAATTTCCTAAAAATTAATAAATACAAAGTTAAAGTTTCAGCAAGGCATAAAAGTACAGTCATTTAATTTTTAAGTTGGTCAGAATATAAAACTTGATTTAACGTTTATAAGGGTATACAGATTATCATATTTTAAACGTTATATACAATGCTATAACATCCACGATAAGTATTACACTTCTATTTAACGCAATGAGCTTGCCCAAGCTAATTTATCACTACGGGAAATAATAAGAATATGAAAATACATTAAAAACAGTTAGTCATTACTTTGACAATAATTATAAAAACGTAAGGTTATATAATTTTAAATTCGAAATAAATGACTTTAAAATTTGAATGCTCTAGCATTTATGTCATCTGCATCGCAATGAAAATGAATACTATAGGACGTCCGCATACGTATTAGGAAAACTGACTTTTTTACTTTATTCCCTTTAATCAATTCATATGATGTTTAATTGATTTTGAAACGTGTCTGCCAACAAAGATAGGTAAGATTATTATATCTTAATCGTAATACATATATAATGCGAAGAATGCTATAGCATTCACGTCAAGTATCACGCTTCTGTTTTCCGCAATGTGCTTGCGAAAAAAATAATATAATACGATAATACTTAAAGAATCAGTTAGTAATTTGTTATTACCTTGACAGGTATATCAATGGTATTATATATATATAATTATAAATTATAAATATATATTATATATATTTGAATGCTATATTATCTTGCATTCAAATTTTAAAGTTAATTATTTTAAATTTAATTTTATATAACCTTAAATTTTTGTAACTATTATACCTGTCAAGGTATTTACAAATTACTGATTGTTTAAGTATATAGTATATTATATATAGTATATAGTATATTATATACATGTGTAATGTATCCCAGTGTAATGTATAGTATCACAGTGAAACAATGAGTCTCAATGAAATCAGTGCTAAAGCATTCACGTCCGCGATGGTATTAGGATTTTTTTTTTACTTTATTTCCCTTAAACAACTCATAGGATGTTTGATTAAGTTTGAAATATGTCTGCCAAAAACTAGCTTTAGACAAACAAATGTGTCTGCTCAAAAACTAGTGTTTTGATTATTTCAAAATAAACACGTAGTTCAATCCGACAGCATCGAACTCTATAAACAGTTCGCAAACAAAGTACTACTCCATACTCGATTTTCAACTGCACTGCGATCGTGTGTTGCAATCGAAACTTAATCCGATATAATATTCATTTTATCTAATCCTATTTTCCCAGAATTCCTAAGACATGCCCCGTGCATGCACAGCGTACAACGAGATTACGAGCGCTGCGCGAACCGATACCAAGCGACGATGTCTCAACTGGGGAAGCCGAAAAACCAAACGGAAGGCGAGAAGTCGACCGAAGTTTACGACGGCAGCAGGCGCAGGGAGAGGCTCATGAACGCGGGCCAAGTCGAGACCGGTGACAGTTTCGGCGGCAGCGCGGCCGTATCGGAGAAAATGCGGGACATCAGCGTCGACAGCCCGGAGGAGTATAGGAGGTAAATTAGATGATCTTATGATAAATTGTGCGAAAAACGCAAAAATTCTAAACTTATATTTTAGAATTTTTGTTGGCAACTTGTAGGATTGTAAAAGTGAATTAGATTTATTTTTAGAAATAGTTCGCAGTTTATAAATTATGTATTATTCACCTATTTAACCCTCTATGAACCGAATCTTTGTTTTACATCCCAAAAAAACAGTAATTCAGCCTATATTTGCAAATGAGAAAAAAACTAGTGGGGTGTGTGGCATCGTGCCTTAAAGCAAATTGCTGGAACTTCCCGTACCGTAACGAAATGCTTGAGGAATATTAAATGTTTTCAAATTGATTATTATAAATACTGTAACATTGTCTAATATTTATAAGAATTATATAAACTGAATTGCAAAGTCAAAAATATTTATTTAAAGTTTATAAGTGAGCTTTAAAACTACAGCCAGAATTGAAATGAAATCTGAATTATTTTATATACAAAAAAAAATTTAAAAAAAATTGAAATGAAATTTTTTTTCCAAAAGCAGTTATTTGTCAACACAAGCAGATAGTTTTTTGAATCATTCAATTCGGATGCTTATTTCTCTCAAAAACTGTCATTTTTTGTATATTTAGCTCTATATGTTCGAAATGGCTTGCCCTGCCTTTGCCAAAAACTAATAGCCATTTCTCCTAATCATTACTAATTCAATGTTTTTAGATCATTCAAATCGGGTGCTCCGTTCTCTCAAAAACTCCATTTCTATTTTCTGCACTCTTTGGTCCGACTCTCTGTATCGGCTGGACTTGCCTTTGCCAAAAACTAAACAGCACATCTTTCTATCAATAGGCATCGAATGTTTTTTGAACCATTCAAATCGGTTGATCCATGCGCCCAAAAACGTGAACGAAAAAATGCGGACACACAAAACACACAAACACATCCATTTTTTCTGAGGTATGCCATAATATTCAGAAACCTCCAAAACGTCGAGAAATGCAAAAAATTTCATTTCATCTTAAAAGTTTTTATTTTTTTATTAACTGAAAATTATAGGAAGTGAATTAGAAAAATCTTAAGGAACATTAGCACCTAATTTTCGTGTTTCATCTGTTGAAATTGTATATTATTTGGAATAATCAAAAAACTAGTAATAGAATATAAGAAATTTATAATATTTATAAGGACAATTAGTAAATTAATGTAAAATTAATCCATTTTATTAATAGAATTATATATTTTTCTAATAACTGGACAAAATTGCTAAAAAATAGTACATTCTGTTTGATTGTCGTGTTGACAGTTCGTATACAGTTGACTGATTTAGAGAGCAAGTTGATATAATAATGTATTATCATGTTTAAATATTTAAGGAGTCACAAACGCCAAATATTAAGAAGCCTTAAAATATGTGATGATAGTTTCATCCGATACTGTGAATTCGTGGAGTTTGGAACTTAAGCGTCGTTGTAACAATATGGTAAATTCCTAATCCTGATTGGAACAAGATTTTTAACTTGAACCAATATATTAATGGATGAAATTAAGAAAGCAGGATTTAATAAAATCGATTTTATGCATATAAAATCTCTCAAATTAATTACGCATATAAAAACTTCCATTCTTATTTATTTTTATCAAAATTGTCACTTTTTTTTAAATACTGAATAATGATTTTCAAGCTATGTGGCTAAAAGTTTGTATTAGATCATTTACAAATTTTATAAAAAATCTTCAAAGAAGTTAGAAAGTTAATGATAAAACCATTCCGTTTTTTCCAGACAGCATTTATTGAGACAAAAGCAATTAGAGGAGCAACGTCGGAGACAAATGATGCTACAAGGGCAAATTCCGATTCAAGATGAAGAAGAAGCAGAAGAACAACTGAGGACAGTATGCTGGTAAGTCTTTTCAAAACTTCCAACTTTAGAACACTCAAATATATATAGATGAATAAGGTTTTGTTTCTATAGTATATTAAATCGTTTTTTATATACCAACAGATAGGAAATTTCGATTTTCTGAAAGCTTCTGTTTCAAAATATAACCGTTTCATCGAATCTTTTTGATTTATTTCATATGAAGAAATACACGAATTCACCTCACAATTAAACAAATATCGTATATTATATTTCATAGCTCCAAGTCAGAACAAACTGCAGAAACAAAATTCAATATTGAAAAACTTAAATAGGTCAGCGGTGCAAAATGCGTCACTTGCTGTATCGAGATTCTCATGTTGTCGAAAACTGTTTTAAAAAAACTTCATCCAATGCAAACGAAATGTAAATGTAATCTGCTTTCTGGTAGTTTGCAAAGTTTTCCGATACACCAAACGAATTAATTACAGAAAACCAGATTTAGTATAAAAATAATGCAATATACATGAAAAATATAATTAAGAGACGAAGTGATCTTCCAAAAATTTTTGTTTTGATAACTGCATCGATTACTTTTTTTTTGGAGCATATTTTTTATTTCTCTACGTTTAAAGATTTTTTGATTGTGGTATCATCGGATTATAATATAAATCTTTTGTATTGATCATAATACATATTATCTTATGTATATATGTTCAAATATAGTTTTTCTGCCAAAGTCTAGAAGGGATGCCATTGATAGGAGGAATTTAGAAAATTTTAAAATTTTATTGATAGCAGTTGGAAATTTTACTTCATTGTAAACTTGGATGCAATTTTATAATTAAACCCCATCTTGTTGGATTAAAATATTTATTATAGGATCGTTGTGCAGGACATAAGTTCCATCAGTATGCGAAAGTTCATACAAATCAAGTTTTTTTTATTAATTAGTTACGAAGAAATCAAACCAATCACGACCTCTAAGTGATATCTGAATAGTTTTTAAATATTTTCAAAATCGACTTATTATAATATTTCAAAAAGTATTCGAAATGGTCTCACAAATATAAAGAATATTGGTTTTTGCAGAAGGAATGTCCAGCAAATTAGTAGATTTTGACAGTAGATTTTAATCAAATTATTAAAAAAGCATATGTATTGTTTTGAATAACTTACTAGCATTTGATACAAACGTATCCAATTGTTTCGGAATTCGGGTAAAGGATATACATATGTATACATATATATATATATATATATATATATATATATATATGTGGGTATATCAGTTATATTAATGGCAGTATCTTTATTTAGAAATGTTGTTTGCGCAACGGAAAATTATATAACGAAAATTATATTTAATATCTAAAAATAATTTCAATCATTATGAAATATCAATTTCCTTAGAATCTTGATTATATAAAATAATTACGGGAAACCCTTTGAGTAACTTTCTGTTCAAGCTTAGCTTTATATTTATAAAATAATATAGGTCCAAAATAACTTGGGAGGTATCATTATTTTATCTTGTACAACCGCATGATTTTATTAACACAAAGTTTGCTAAGAAAATTTATATTTATAACCTTTTTGGAAAAATCGATTTGTGGAAAGTTTTTATGTAGATTCTTCTCGATGTTAATAACAAAATTTAATAAATTCTTTGGGGGTCATTTAATAAAACAAAATTTCATAAAAGTTAATAAAACATTTGAGGGTCAATTATCATATTTGCATAATTTGATTTTTTTCTTACCAATGCCGAAAACTAATCATCGCGTCTCCCCATAAATACGAATCGAATGTTTTTTAAATTATTTAAATTGGGTGAATCGTGCTTTCGAAATTGTGGACGAAAAATGGTATCCAGATAAAGGTATGCCAAATTGTTCAGAAGAGTGAAAAGTAAAGGTATATGTAAAGATATTTTCGAGGTTGCTAAAACTTATCCTATGGTAAGTTAAAAACCTCTTATTTGAACGAATGCCAATAATACCTTGAACATGTGCTTACGTAGTGAACTTCAGCAATCATGTCACATGTTTATGTATGTACTATGTCGTATCATGGTATGTATTACAAATAGTGGAATTCTAAACACTCGATAAGGCATTTTATCAGGATGACACTTGAGTGGCACCGACATAACAACTCGCTTTTAGAATTAAGGGTCCCTGACCGATTTTATGACATATATGCTGATTCTCTACTAAATTTACATGATTTACCTGACTACTCATGTGATTAAATCTAATTCATGTGTTAATTAAAATCGCATATTTAATTAATATAACATACATGATTGCCATTTAAAATATATTATCTTCTTGTAACTTATAAAAATTGGGTGTAAATGCGTATGTATAGAGTTTTAAGAGGAACAAAGAAGAAAATTTATTTTCACATGAGGCATTAATATTATATAATATTGCAATTATAAAATGTGCATATTTGTATAAAGGTAACACATAATGTAGTGCACATGTAAGCATATGTGTTAACGACTATAACCAAAATTTGTAAAAGATTTTCAACAATTTGATATTTAAAATGAATTTTCCAAGCTGTTAAAGCAAATTTTCTGAAGATCTAATTTTACATTTTCATATATGTATTTATAGTAATATCTCGGACTAGGTACATCAACCACTATCCATAGTTTACGTTGATGTAGTTATTATAACTTCAGAAGTTATGCCAGGCTTCTTTCTCAGTTTTACTGGGTCAGCTTTTATAATTGTACAATTATATTTCCACAGCCTTTGCGGGTATTCCTAATGAGAATCATTATATTACGTGCTTTACTAATTATTGGCAAACAAAATATACACAATGGTAACATAACTTGCAGTTTATAATATTATTAAATACATTTTGATATATGTTACCTGTGGACCACGAGATGCATCAAAAATTGAGTCAGTCTTCCAAAAAAAAAGCCAGGTGAAGTTTTACTTTTTAAGTCAACTTGGTAAAATTTTTTTTGAATTTGATCTAACTGCTTCCTTGCTAGAATACTAGGATTTTTAGTCAGCCTTGTTTTATTCTTTCTAACTATGTCTAAGCACTTTATTTCTGACGGAAGTAAAACAGGTTAAGTGTTAGTTACTGTTTTATAAAAAGATCCAGTAGATTTTATTTCAATTATTTATAAAAAACAGTCATGTCCAAAATATCTTTTTTTCTGTAACAGATTTCCTGAAACAAAAAGCTTTCTGCTAATGTAATTTTTAATACATGCTGTTCATATAATTTAGCTATTTATTTTTATGTATAGAATATAAAACAATTTAGTTGATACAGATATTTTTAAAAATAATAGTTGAATTAATTGTTTAATACTAGCGATAAATGGTACTTTTATAATAAAAAGTTTAGACTTGGTCCACATTTGGAGATATGTCCACATTTGTTTATTATATTCAGAAATACTTCTTCTTTTGTAATTGTACAAATAAAATGATGAAATCACTATATTGCGTTTATCAAGTCAACATATTTTTGGAATTTCTAAAAATATAACATTATCTACTTTTATGTAATACTGCTAATTTCTCAAAATATAACATTTTCTACTTTTATGTAATGCTGCTAATTTCTAAAAATATAACATTCTCTACTTTTACATAAGCTGTTTAAAAAGAACAATGAGCTATTTCAATATAGAAATAATTGCAGCAAATCGTAGAACAAATAGTATTTATATACATTGTGACGCAACGTCATTAATTTTTATACAAATAATTCACTTTATTTTTAAATTTCCATATTTAAATCTGAATTAGATTATTACATATACTGTTGCATTACATATTCATATTTGCTAATAGGTTTTGCGGTACAAACTGTAGTTACTTTGAAAATGTTGAAAGTATTTTATTTTACAAACATTATAACGATCAAACATATCTAGATGATTTTTATATAAACATTTGATGAAGCACTGTAACAGGTTATACATTTGAAAATTATTTTAATAGTATGTTGTTCTGGATGATGCGACATAAGAAGAAAAATTAGGTCTAATTGAAGATGATATCGACCAGCAGTGATATAAATTTTTCAAATTAAATATATTTCTGAGTTACAAAATTCACCTAAATACCTAATATTTTTATTTTTAATCTATTTCATTGCCAATATTGAAACATTGCCGTATCGTGAGGAACCCTACAAATATTTGAACTTCATATGATATTCGTTCATTATTTGCAGAACGTTTCCAAATTTGATTCCTATTATTGCGTTTCTGTGTTATAAACAATAAAGTCAACATTCTAGTATATAGTTGACGACTATTTATAGAGTGCTCGAACTCTGATGCAAATGCATTTTTAATGCTCAGTTGTATCAGTGAAGGTGAAGAAATTATACAAAAATAACAAATATATGAAATCTATTCCAACTATCATACTTTTATATTCATTTATAATATTTTATTCTTTTTGTTACTTTAGGTCTTTTTGACTGTCCATTACAAACATCATTTTATGACTTTAATAACATAAAGTTTCTGCCTAAAATCTAAAAATTCGAAAATTTCTTTCAATTGAAAATATTTATGTAGAAATTTGCTAGGGTTATTTTATATGCACAAAATAAAAAATATAAACATACCAACTATTAGCTATTTTTTGTTATAATTTAATATTGTTAATCAAGACTATATTAATGTCTTATTTACAAAATTGATATGTGCAAAAAAAAGAAAAAATACAAAAAAATACAATAAATTGGAACTATTAGCTATGAAACATTTTCAGTTTGTTTCATTTAAAATAATGCAAAGTTTTTTTACCTTTTTGAATGTTTTGGCATTAAAAATAATTAAAAATACTAATTGGGAAATATATAAATCAAATGTATGATTTTCACTAAATGCATTGTACTTCTTACAAAAGGAATGCACGAATCTTATAAAAGTTTAATGGAAATATCTATATCTTTATATTGCTAATTTATCATCATTATTGTTTATCAATAATCTATTAACTGATGATTAATATCAAAAATCAGTAACTAAAAAGTAATAACAAATTTAAAATCAGCTGTTATTCATTACATAATTATCAATAATTTAATTCATTAGCATGATTGATATATCAAATTTATAAGGTTTCAATAATTGTTCTATTTCAATTTATACGAAAAATTGGAGAGAAAAATATAGTATTTTTTATGTTAATTTCTGTAATGTATTCAATAATTAAAAATGTTGCGTAATTGAGTAGTAAAAAGAAATGCTCTGGGTTCAGCTCTTTTGAAAATTCGATGCTAAAGTGAGCAAAATGGGTATTTCAACTATTTTAAATAATTATTTCATGAAATATACATACATATAAACTCGAGTTGCTTAAAATCGATATTGTCTACTTGGTAGGTATAATTTTTATCAATCGATAAATAATATTCTCTTGAAACAGAATATTTAATTTTTTTAAAGCCATTTTCTTATAAAATATTAATATTGGTCCTTTATATTCTCATATACTTCAGTTTATTTTAAATTTTAAAACAGATTATTTTAACGCTTTCAAAAAATTAATGAGCTCAGATATATATTTAATAATAATAAGTTAGAATTGCACAGAAATGATTTTATTGAATTGCAATTAACAATTTTCAGAAAAGCTTTCATTCTAGTATATTAAAAACTAGTTCTTCGACTAGTATTGTCTGATATAATTAATAAAAGCAGGTGTATTATAAAGTTTTGCTGTATTTTTTTTTGTTAACCATGAGAATGTGTATATATACTTACTAGTGAGACTATTTTCCAAAAATGTTATACGGGGCTCGTTTACTGGTTTCATTAAAATAAAAATGCTCTCACAGAATTAGAAGTCGTCTTCAATGATATTCATTCTATCATGTCCACACATGAGCGGATTTTCCGCTATTAACGTTAAAACATCGTTGTATGACGGTTCATGAAACTGTAAGTTTTGTACAAATAATAAAGACATGCGCTGATAAAGCGGAACATATAAACAAAACTAATGCATAAACTTTGCGAAATTATGTTGGCAGCCGTCCATTATCCTTTTAATATTTTATTTATAAAATCTAAAATATAAATATTGTTTATGCAGTAGTATATAAAGATATATTATTGATAATACTTTTTATTTTTAGTTCGTTCCAAGAGTATATGCGCTGTTCGCAAGATGCTGTGAGATGCCAGTGTGGTGAAGAATCCGCAAAATTCACGAAGAGATTTCTTGATAAAATGGCTAGCTCATTGATCAGGGTAAATAATTTATATTAAAAGTATATATATATATATATATATATATATATATAAATGGGCTCGCCCGTAGGTAAGCGGGTCTTGTTTCAGAGGTCCCGGGTTCGATACCTACTTCGAGCAGCCTGTTGTCAGGCAGCAGTGACAACGATTTTCACTCGGAAATATAGATAGCAATATGTTTCCAAGTGAAAATAGCCCTTGCCCGGCATTGCTGCACCAATAAAAAGTCAGCCCTATTAGATTAATTCTAATAACATTAACAATTCATCAAATATAGATGGATTAACCATTGGGTTACCATCTAAAAATACGAAGTAACGAGGTTCATAGGACGTAAGGTTCTGATTGCTGTTAAAAATATAAAAAAAAGAATTGTTTTCGTAAATTTCGGGCAGAATATTTTGAAAGTTGTTTAGAATTGCTGATGATCAACTCGTATAGGTTATTCGGTATTTAATAGATTGTAATTACGAGTAAAATTTAAATTTGTAATATATGCATTTTAATTGAATTAATAGCATTCATATTATTTATTTGTTGAAAAACACTATTGTTTATCTCTAATAATCAATGTTTATTTTGTAATGATTTTTTTTCTTTCTTGAAGACTGGAAACTTAGTCTTTTTTATACCTTCACCTAAAGCAAGTTTTTAAAATTGAAAATAAATAGAAATTAAATTGATAATATTCATTTTATCTTATTTATTTCATTTCATATACACGCTACATGAATTTTCTTGTTTGGGGAAAACCGATTTGGACTGTTAAATTTTGGAGTGTTAAAGCATTCGATTATTTTTAATTCTTAATAAATATTCTAAATAATATGAAATAATCTAACCGTATAAATTACTTTTTTTTGCAAGATGATCGATTATTGCATCTTTAAATAATTATCCTTTTATAAAACCCAATTTAGTTTTTTTATATATTTCTTTCAATTTACTTTTAGATTTTGAAATGTATGTCATATATAAATAATAAATTCTAATACTAAATGCAATTATAAAGTGATACTGTATTTAAATAATTAATGTATTTACTACTACCACATATTATTTAAAAATATTTTAAATCATCAGATTTTACTTCTTCTTTTCAAGTAACTTTTGGTTGGAACTTTTTTATTTTAATTAAAGTAAAAAATCAACCAAACTAATATGGTCTGACTTAGATGTAGTCACTTATTCAGATACAGTACTACAGACTTTAAGTCATTAATTTAGATTGGTAGAGTTAGTTTCGTAAATTTTGGACAGGATTCACATTTTGTCAGTTTTTTTTTCTAATTCCTGATAATCTACTTCTATCTGTATATTGATAGATTGTATATAATAATCTATATTTAACTTGTTATATAACAAATGTAATTAATAATAATTAGGGAGGAATATACTAGAATAGAATAGTAGCAATTATTCATTGATGATTATCAAAATCATAATTATAATGATTCAGATTTCAACTCGTTGTATTAATTTATAAATATTACAATCTCATTCAGGTATTCTTGTTAATACCTAATAGAAATAATTGGATATAAATAATTAAATGTAGAACTACTTATTTTTGTTTAATTATGAGCCTTGGCATAATAAAATGTGGACTTAATTTGCACATTAAAAAGTATTCAAGCCGTAGCAAACACTTTTTGTCATATAGTTATCCGCAATTTTTTATTTAATATCATAGGTTTAATTACCTGTAGTATTATTGATAGATCGATTCAAAAATTTTACAAAAAGAAATATCTCAAAATATTAATAGCTGTACTGACTTCTTCGGCATATTTTAAATGTTTAGAATAGATATAAATTGAACCTTTCATAATAATTTCACGAATTTATACGTATCTGTATATAAATAGAAGAAAAATAAAAGGCTTTTCTCTGTTTCCAGCTACACTGTGCAAACTACGGCGAGGGTTCTGGAAGATGTGTGGGCTTCTCTTCGGCCGAATCCTCTCTACTGAGATCTAGATTCTCCGTAGCTGTGCTCTCTGTGATATCGTTCGCAATATTGATGTCTAGTTGAATATTTTATGAGAGTAGTTAGGCAATGATAAAAAATTATATCTATATTTAGAATTATATTTCCTATGGGTAAATACACCTACTTGTATATATAAAAAAATATCTTCAAAAGAACTATTTTTTCCAACACGAGACTTCGATTAGTTTTGTAAAAAATAGGATTGTACAGAGTTTGAAATCGATACGAGATAAGGTTTTCATAGATTTATTAACGCTGTTAACTACAAGAAAGCTATATGAAAGTAAAATAGTTTTTACCCTGATATACATACATATTATGTATATATGTATATACATACATACTACGTACTATACTTTCCCGCCAACTTCATCCATTTGAATCTCATAAGCTGATTTCCATTAATAATTAACTACTCAAAATTAGTTGATACAAGACATAGTCTCTTATTTTATAGCGTTAGTATTATTATTGATATTATTAGTTATTAATGCTTATTATGAATAATGCGAAACAAAGAACTAACACTTCTCTCTAATTATTAAATATTTTATAATATAAGCAAAATTGAAACTTTGAATGATTTATAAATTTATTTTATTCCTTATTAGCTTTATTAACTGGAGCAACATTTTGATTAATTTAATTTGGCAATGTAATTGATTATATTGTTTCAAGTCCATATTACTTCTAGATATTTATCATTTGAATATTGAAGCACTTATTCAAAGAAAATTCACTCTATTAGATCTATATTGGATAGTCAACATATGATAGACTCCAGTGGGTTTATGATCAATATGTGATCAACATTGTGTCAATCAATGTTCAACTAATATTTACTAATGTGGGTTCAACATTCAAACAGTATCTAAATAGTATATGCAGATTCGGCCCAATATACTGATTGTAAGTACTTATTGAACCTTTATTTTCAAGCTAATATTTTTATTATATCTTGTCCTTATCATTTATTATATAGGAATGATAAAGTTTTTAGAAATATATCTTAGCTATGATAAATTCTATTTAAATGTAATATTGTACATAGCTTTAAAAATTGTACATTTAAAGATTTCAATAACATATTTTTCTACATATTAAATAGTCTAATACCTATGTATATGTTAAATGGTTTCACATAGTTTACTTTAGAAATTATGAAAGCTGCAATCATAGATATTAAATTAGGCTTTTATTGTAAGCTAAATCCTGCTTGCTTAGCGCACTTGACTCCTAAATTCAAAAAAAATAATGATAGAATAGTTGTTTCTATATGCTCAATCAATTCAAATTTATACATCTGTTAAAACTGGAATTTTGATTTATAGTAATTTAAATTTAATCTAGAGAAGAGTTCAAGTGCGTATATTTATTTAGTTTGTAAGAATTGTATAAAAGAGTAATTTTGTACATACATATTCAAAATTGTTATAAACATGTACAAATTGTAATAAAATTTTCCCAAATGATTTGTTTCTTACTGTTTAAGAACATTGACAAAATATTTTCAAGTAGTTATTATTTTTATTCATAAAATCGCGGTAATAATCGGTACAATATAATTTATTTTCTAATTATAATGTTGAATAGTAGATATTCTTTCTACTACCATTAACTGATATTTAGAGCATGTAAAAAATTGAAATATTTTTTCCATCATTGTTTTCATCCTCATCGTATTTTTATCAGTCTCTTATGTACAAAAAAGTGTAAGTTGTGATATCTCATAATTTTATGATAAAAATAAATCGTACTAAATCATTAGAAATTTTCAGATTAAATTGCAACAATGATTCGTATTTTGTGATGCCGGAATCCTTTAAACTAGGCCATTTCACTTACCAAAAAAATATATATAGAAAATATGATTGTATAAAAAATATTGTTTGATGATAGTCCAGTCATTATAGTAAGTTCACCTCGGAATTCGAGATACCCAGCTGTAAGTCTGTAAATACTGTATATTGAAACCCTAAAAGTTGTCTCAAACCCTACATATGGTAGAGTGTACGCAACATATGTAGGTTTTGAGATAACTTTTAGGGTGTCAATATACAGTATGCACAGACTTACAGCTGGATATCTCAAATTCCGAGATTACTACCTAATTTAAGCTTAAATGACTAGACTGTGAGGCGGTCGTAGTGTAATGCTGATACGTGGGCTTGCGATAAATGGTTTCGGGTTCAAATTCCGCGCTTCGTACAAACTTGATATCAATCAGTATAATATATAATCTGAATATACGAAATATGTTTTCTGGTGAAAGTAGCATTTCGGGGCATTGCTGCAACACATAGACTTGGAAAGCAAAAAATACCATCATAATAAGTACAACCATTGGTTATAACAGAAGTAAATACACCACAACAGCTGATGTAACACTGGGAATGGTTTTAATTGCAATTAAAATAATAATAATAGTAATAAATAACTAGTAGTTACATGTACTGTAGTAAAAGATCGAAATATTGGTTGTATGAAAAGTATTGAGAAGTGATTTTCCCAGATGGATAAAATAAATAGTACTGAGAGAGTTAACTCAGTGTACTGTAAATGAGAAATTACTCAAAATGGGTAATATTGTACCAAATTGAAGTTCAAAATGATATTAAGGAAAAGGTCTAACAATCTGAATCATTATACAAAATTACCTAACTTATCTATACTAAAAACTATTTCTAAAAATGTTGCCACTGTTTATCCCAAAATCAGTCGCTAATGTTTCCCTTAATTGACGCCAAAATTTTAAATATTCAACATAATCCATAAATCCATATTTTAGTAAGGTCATGTTGGTCATTAGTTATATTGTTTTGGTGCCTAGTTCACTCTAGTCTAGTCTCATGTCTTCTAGTTTGTTATCAGCCTCGCACGCATTCGAAAATGTGCAAAATACCAGTGTTATAAATGGCTTAGTTCTGATTAAATAATATTACAGCAAGTGACAATTTTATTTATTTATTTTATTCATAGATTTCATTAAATTATAAGTGAAGTGACTTAATTATTTAAATAATGTGGCTGGATTATTTGACAGTTATGAATCAAAACATGGTCAATGGCGACGCAAACGCGGTATTGTTTGCCGAATTGCCTACAGCGGAAATGTCGCAAAAGGTTAGTTAGTAATGTATTAAAGTATTAAAGATCATAACATTATTTTTATACTTGATATAGATATTTTACACATTCAATTTGTATGTAATGGAGGGTCAAAAAAAAATTGCTTAGGTCATAAGAATAATGGATGTGTCAAGAACTGTCATATTCTTTTTCCTATTGGTTTCTTATTCGAAAAACACTAAATTATTTAAAATTTTGCCTTACAATATTATTGCCTTATATTTCAAAAAATATCTGATTGTTGCCTATTATATATATGAACATTGATGTATGTATCAATCAATCATCCTGCAGCATATGTTGTAAAAACCAAAATTAGACGATGAAATTGTTAGAAATATTTAATATGATCAGCTTCTTTTTCATGTTTGCAAGTAGACTTAAATATGTATTTTCATATTCATCTTCATGCAAATTATAAATTCTATTCGGTATTAACAACCAGTATATTTCTTTGCTAATTCATTTGCTATCGAGACCTAACTCTTTCGAGGCAAATTTAACCATTTGTCACTCCACGAAGTACTTGAATACTAATTTTTACTAAGCTTTAAATAGGATTCAACCTAATAATTTCTAAATACCAATTGTAAGAAAAACAGAAATTGTACAATTTATTTATAGGCTTCGTGCCAGAGAAACCTTAGGAAGTAGCACATTAATTTATTATTTTTAATACGAATAACTTTCATCATCATTATGTAAGTGTAACTTATTTATTTGTACTTTTATTTTTGATTTATGAAATTCTAATTTTTTATTTGCTACTAAGAACCAGTATCTTTCTTTGCTAATTCATCACACTAACTCGAGTTGAAGAAGTTAGATCGAGATCTAACTTCTTCAAGTAAGCAAATTCAACATTTTACCACTTCCCGAAGTACTTGAACAATGTATATAGCAAAGTATCACGTAGGATTCAACCTAATAATTTACAAATACCAATTGTAAGAAATACAGAAATTGAACAATTTACTCATAGGCTTTGTGCCAGAGAATCTTTAGGAAGTAGCACACTAATTTAAAATTTTTAATACGAATCACCTTCATTATCATCTTATAAGTGTAACTTATGTATTTCTATATTCATTTTTGATTTATGAAATTTTAATTTTTTATTTGCTACTAAGAACCAGTATCTTTCTTTGCTAATTCATCACACTACCGAGATCTAACTTCTTCGAGTAAGGAAATTTAACATTTGGCTGCTTCATGGGGTACTTGAATAATGCACATTGCAAAGTAGGATTCAACCTAATAATTTTCAAATAACAATTGTAAGATAAATGGTAATTGAAAACAAATTTCATAGGCTTTGTGCTAGAGAAATTTTAGGAAGTAGCACACTAATTTGAAATTTTTAATACGAATAACCTTTATCATCATCTTTTAAGTATTATTTATTTATTTCTATATTCATCATTGAGTTATGAAGTTCTAGTTTTTTAATTGTCACTGAAAACCAGTATCTTTCTTTGCTAATTCAATTACTATCTAGACCTAACTTTTTCAAAGTAAACAAATTTAACATTTAGTCACTTCATGGTACTAGTCACAAAGCCATTTCAGTATAATATTAACACCATAAAAATTTATTTATCATATACATATACAGATTATGCACTTCATTTTATGCGACCAAAATTAGATCCAATTTGTGCCAGAATTATAAATTCTTATATAAATATATGAAAATCATAGTTTCTCAAATCATTTTTATTGTCTTAAATAGTTTTCAACAATAACACATAAAAAACATTTTGTTCGTGTGAGACACATTATTTACTACATATTATAAATATAAATTAGATTCTACTATGGTACATAAAGCATCCCTAAATATATTTTCAAATTAAAGCTCATATCTTAAATTCATGGGAATCTTTTTCAAAAAAATATTTCTTCTGAAGGCACTACATTTAATTAATTCATATTAATACTAAGAAGTATTTTGTACTTCATATTCGTAGATATTAAGTATTTGGCTTTTGATTTGCTTTCAATTGTGAATTAAGATGACATATTAATTATAGTACAAGAAATTTATTGATATCATATTCACATAAATATCACTTACTAAAATTAGTTTAATGATAAAAATTTAAAGAAAAATGACATTTCTATTCAAACTATAACTCGAATTCTAAAAAAATAAAGTTTTTGGTTAAAGGTATATTCTTGTTAATATATTTTGAAAGGTGGCATTTTAATATATATTTTTCTTTCGTTTCCCATATCTTTTGTATAAGTATTCTGCAAAAATATGTTCATTCAATGCATTTATTTTTAATTAAAAAAAGTTTTTAATTATTATCTTATTAAACTGTAACACGTAATTGATATTGATATATTTCGATGTGCTTCCAGTTCCAAAATATTGCTTCACAAAAGCGATATGTAGAAAATTTGATAAATATAATTCTATGAAGTTATTATATCAAGTCACAGACTTATAACTTTAAAACACCTTGTATTAATTCACATAAGGATCAAATTCAATTTTCTGTGAAAACTGCATAAAATATGGTATTATATTTATGAGAGCAATCAATTACAGAAATTGCTTGTATTTCTTCACATTATTATACATGCTCGAACATTATATACAAATAAATAATTTAAGTGCTTTAGATATAGATCTTTAAAGTTAATATTAATTATAATAAATAATATTCATTTCGAGCATGACATAATAACATTTTTAGATTTTGTCATTTATAGTATTTCGTTTCTATATCTAGATTAGATTTTTTTACATCTATGTTAGATTAGAGTATTAATTCTATCTATATTAAAATATATTATATTATATTATTAAATATAAGGTCACAAGGTTTAATCAGATCAATATTACAGTAAAAGCACTTGGATATTTGGATAGTTCATAGAAAAATATCAATTTGTAATTATCATTTTAATTTGGTAATGCATCCCAATCTGATGTTTAAAAAACAATTAATTTTTTTTCGAATTCTGATACATTTGAAACTTAAAAAATAAAAACTTTCATTAATAAATTCTGTCATTTATGCTTCAAAAATAAACTTCATCAGAAATAATTTCATCACTTCACTGCAAAAACAATAAACATTTCGAAAGCCCGAATTTCATATCGGGACATTAAAAGGTTACTCACAAAAAATTGTCATTTTTTAAACATTTCTGAATTATTCATTAGGTAGTTATATATATATATATATATATATATATATATATGGATATTTATAAAAAAAATTATATGTTTCATGCAGCTTAACTTTGCAGAAACTCTTTAACCTTCTCAGTAAATGTTTTCGACTTCTTCGTCATATTCTTATGGTTCTTCAAAAAAGACTTTGTGCTGTCTGCATTTTTGTTACTTTCCATCAATCGAACATCAAACATTTCGTAGAAACCATTTTCTGAAACATTTCTTCCAATACTATTATTAAATGACTCAATGTCATAGCTGAGATCTAGATATTCATCACTTTCTAGTGAAATTTGACTAATACTGCCACTGTCCTGACTATCTCTTTGTTTTTGAGACATATTAAGTAAAATTTTTGCCTTGGTTTTGATAAAATCATTGAACATTGCTGTTTCAACAAACCATTCCAAAAAGCCACGCAATTGCTTATTGCCTTTATGAGATTCTATAAATTCAAGTTTCTGAAATATGAAGACATTGATGTAGTAAAATGTAAAGGATTTTTTTTATAATTCATAATATTATGATTTCTTTATTGGTTCCAAGGCCTGGTTTAACCTTTGATTTTACCTTAAATCAAAATTGATGCAGTTGTACATATTTAAGATTAATGGAATCTTCAAAAATTTTAATTTACATAAAATATTTGCAGAAATGTTTGATCAGGTAGAAAGAATTATTCGAAAAATGTTATTTTATTCTACTCACATCAAAAACTCCATTATGGAAACAATCAGCATAGCCCTGCATACATGTTAAAAAGAACTTCAGAAAAGCTTCGCCAACCAACACATTTCTGGTTGGATCTTGTGGACCATTTTTAACCAAACTCAATGATAATTTCAATTTTTCTCTTAATGCTGCTGGAAACAAAGTGTTTTCATCCTTCATACATGTGAGTGTCCGTGAACTATCAATATCAACCAGAATTCCCTATAACAACAAATATAGTAATAGATAAGACGAAAATTTCTTACAATTGCACAATTAGAAGGGAGATTAGAACAAATGTTATATATTGGCATAGATCACGTAGGTTTTTTAAGTCTTCCTGTTGTTGAATCAAATTAATCTTATTATAAGATACTTCAAGTATCAAACTTGGGAAGAAATATTGGTTCAACTATTTGCTTGTTTTGGCATAAAATAGTGTGGTGAATATAAGATGAAAGAATGTTTTGATTCATGATATCAATGTCAAGTTGCTTATTTTCATGAATATTATGAATTGTATTTCAAAACTGCTAGCAAGGAAAAGCTATTTACATCTTGTTGATTAATAAGAAGATTTCTTCGAATTCTCATCCGAATTTCATTACAGAAAATGTCAAATTTGAAACTTTTTCTTAAAGCCTTATCTTGTTCACCTGATTTTAAAAAAACCTAACCTATTTAACGTAACGATAAATCTAAAAATCTGCTAATTAGATAACAATTGAAACATTAATTTTTTAATAATTATTAACGATTCTACAAAACAATATGAATATGAAAGGCTATAAACCGAGTTGGTAAACCATGATGAATAATTTAATCACTTCATATTTCCTAACAAATCTCAGTTCAATTATTGCAATGATATATTGTTTTTGCAGATCCTATATATAGGTCCTTCTATTATACAGTATTAATTAATGTTCGAATCATTATTAGACTACATATCATTTTCATTCAAAGAAACTATAAAACACATTATGTTCTAGTAAAGATACTAATATACCTGAAGATATATTCATAACAAATGCTATGTTAAGTTTAAATCAGTCTCAAGCATATAATATAAAATCTAAATAGTTCTTATAATTAGTTTGTATTTAAAATCAATTTGTGATTTCAATGGTTACCTCGTCCACTGTTATGTGTTCATCTGTGCACAGAATTCCAGCCAATATCGGGAGTGGTGCGTTTGTAATTTCAATCAGGTTGTGAGGTAGAGTAGTGACTAGTGTGTGTTGCCATCTAAATGGATATAAAGCACTTTGCAAACCCTCGATGCAAGAACATAATTTGCTAGAAATATTATAACAAAGTTATAAAAATATATTTCCTAAAAAACGTAACTTAACATAAAATTTGCTTCATATTTTATGCCCATCATTTATCACTTACCTCAAGCTTTCTCCAACCAATATAACCTTTCGTTCTATGAGCAATGATCCAAAAACATTTATCATGGTTTCCACGTTTAAGCATTCAAATAGGACAGCTAATTCATTATTTTCTAACCGTACATCATAAGGACGTTTAATTAATACTTCAGTAAAATTTTTGGATTCTCGAATGTTCTCAAAAAGAGAACTGTTGATCATAGAAAACCTCTCATCATCTATTGAATCTAGTTTAGTGTCTGCTTCGGAACATTTCTGTCTTTTATCTGAAGTTTCATCACTATCTGATTCTAAAATTATCTCTTTTGTACTCAAATATTCCATATCTTTTGCTAAACGAATATCATCATAGGTTTGAAGAGAATTTCTTCGTTCTTTTACAAAATCGTGTTGTTGAAAATCCATCATAGCACTCTTTAAGATTAAAGGATTCTTAAATATATTATCACAGCTTATTGAAGAATCAATTTCATCAGCATTGTTAGTATTTAATAAATTTCTTAAATTTTCTGCATCACAATTATTATGAGTTTGTTCTGTACTTTCAAAGAATTTTGTCGCTTTGTTAATTTCATTATTATTATAACTAGATTTTTTAATCTTTGGTAAAGATTTACTTGTGCATATTTTTCCATAGTTCGATGCTAATTCAGTATTCTTTTCAGACTTCTTATGATTGGCTGAAGGATCATTCATGTCAATATCATTTCCTAATTTTTCATTTGAATCTTTTTGATCATTGTTGATATTGGAAAAGTTATTGAACGAGTCATTGAGATTCTTGCTTGACTTTTTGTGGAGATTATTAGTCAGAGAATGAAATGATCTCCTACCATTTGTATGTTGAAAGTATTCATCTTTTTTATCATTGATGATTTCTGTTTTAGGCCTTTTCTGAGGGCTCTTTGGAATTTTAATGTATAAATGCTGACCTGGTTTGGGCAAACGAGATTCATGAAATTGTTTAAGCATTGATTTCTGCTGGTAATCGGTTTGACCATGTCGAGATTCCAATTCTTGCAAAATCTAATGGGGCAAAGAATTATATTTTTTTTGATAAATTTGAAAATTTGAAATATACATATATACATACATATATATATATATATATATATATATATATATATATATATCAATATTACCTTGAAATAAAATCCTGGAGCTCTGATATTTGTCACAATGCAGTACACAAGTGGCAGATATATCTCTGAATTTTCTGGTAATATTTTCCTACAATACCCAAATTTTCTAATACCATTTTGATCTGTTAATACTATACTATAATTCTGTTCATCTTGTGTTAATGTATTACATTGTGGCAACAATTTTCCACGAAAATTATATTGACTAGCCGAATTCTTCAAAGAGTATGGTGAGGTTTGATTATTTCGTTTATTTTTGATATGACTATCAGAACTTTGGTCAGATGAGGTCTTTGTAAGTTGAGGTATATTATGAAGTGACTTTGATTTTGTGCATTTCAACGCCGACGAATAATACTTTTGAGGAAATATTAAATGCTCTATATGTTCGGGAGCTTTAGCCTAAAAAGAAAAAAAAAAGTTATAGTATAAATATATGGAGTCCCATTTTTGAAACTAGTCAGTGCATGCCTGGCCAGTGATTCATATGAGCAATTAAGGATTCATTTGAATATAATAATAACCATATATAAGGATAATAACCATATAAATCATCACCTTATGCTATTTAAACCTACTCGAGGCCTCGATCAAATATGACAATCAGAAGTACCTACTGTCTCAAACTAACAATTTTGATGCACATGTTTATATTGAATATCCACATGCATATCCCTCACTTTTTATTTATGAACAAAATATGTTCATTTGGACTTATTCAAAATTTTATAAGAACTTCGAGTTTATTCATATGGGATAATTTTGGCGAAACATTGCACGATAGAATTGATAGTCAAAATGAACCCCTAAAAATATTAGAGTTCTATGAGAATTAATTTAATTATATGAACTCGATGGCCATACTGCAATCAGTTTCATCACTTCTCACTCGTAGAAGACGAGTAATTACTCAGGTTTAAACTTCTACTCGAGGTTCTTCTTGTTAGTTGAAGTTAATAGAGAACGGTCTTCCATTAGAAAAACTTTGTCAATTTAGTGGATAATGCTTCTAAAATTTTCATAACTTATAGTAGACAAAAATTACCGCTACAAAATATATGTATCTGATTTCAAATAATTTCTTTACTAATGCGTAATTATTGCATTTGCTTTATATGCTTCGAAAGAATATATCATGATGATAAAAATATTACCTCTGGAGGATATATGCTTTTAACGTATCCTTTCTTCAAACTATTATAGCCAACCAGCAAACACGCTTCAAATAATCTCTCAACGTCGTTTGTAGAATCATTATGACGTGACTTTTTTGCTGCAACAGCAGATTTTTTCCTAAGAGCAGTGTAACAGCTGTTTAGACTTCTTTTGTCACGTAAATTTTCAATCCAATCGTAACGGGCTACAGATGATACTCGAGTCAAATAGTTTTTACGTTTTTCGGTTAAAGAGCGACTGGGAGTGCGCGAAATTTCTGAAATAGAGTTTAAAATTTTATTAAAATCCGAGAAATGATGGATAAAAAGAAATCAGTTCTTAATCTATTTTATTAGTACCTTTTTATATTTATATTTATATAATTTCATTTTAAGTGGAACTTAAATCACTTTAAGTATGTTAATATTTGTTTTCACACGTATTTCCTATAGGTAGTCTTACTACATAATTATTTTCACAAACAACACCTAAATTGTGGATTCTTTGTTCAAATAATATTCTCAACAAATTGTTATTAAAGACCTATATAAATATATTTTTACAGACACATTGATCACAAAAATTGTAAATTGTGATAATTTACATTATTCTCATAGATGTAATAAAAACAAACCGAAGAAAATCTTATTTGCATTTCAACAAACTTTATTTAAGATTAAAAAAATTACCACAAAGATAGGAACAACAGCCCAGGTCTATTTACGATTATTATTAAATCTATTACGATTACGATTTTTTTTAAATGTATCATTGAAATGAATATTAGAGTGAAAGTTGCTTGAGCTAGATTTTGCAAAAACTATTAATTTGTGGGTAATTAGGGCAATAAGTTTTTATATAATTTTTTTAAGACTGATTGATGTCGCTAAAACCGTTATAAGAACTCGTCTTAGAAGCCATTCGTTTTTACTAACAATAAGTAAGCACTGATAAACTTTATTATTTTTATACAACGGTCTTTGAAATCTATTCAAATTTTACAGATAGTTCTTACTGCTTTTTTTTTGAAAATTAGGTTGCTCTTGACTAAAATATTTCATCAAAGCATCATGTTTTAATCTTTTCAATATTGTTATACTTTCCTTTATTAAATATAAAAAACAAAGGCTTTTATCCCAACCAACAAATTGCGAATTCAACAGAAAATTTATAAATCGCATATTTCTATTTGAATTTGCTGCGTAACACATTTTTTTAAAAATATCATATGTGGCTCTGTGTATCAATGTTTAGTAAAATAGCAAAACTGTATTCCTTTTTCTTTTGATAAACGTTTGATAGAGCCATTTACATTACTAATTTTTGTACTTTATTTTTAATTGATGAGATAATGAAATGAGTAATGTATAACACGCAATAAGTTCTTGTAGTGACTCATAAAAACATTATAAATTCTTTGCAAACAAGTGACCGTGAAGGAAATAAATACACTTCTTTGTATTAGATCCGTTTATTGTGACATATTTATTGTAAATATTATATATCACCCATCCCAAAAAAGACGCAAATGATATTTGCAAATGAATGAATGCTGAAAAATGGCATATCCATAGTCTTTTTAACTTTTTGAGTTTACATTTCAAAACGCTATTTTTTTGGGTTTCTTCAAATATTATTACAGTTCTACATAGGATAGAGAATTAATGAAAACACGTGGCATGTGGAAACACATACATCTCATTTTTATTTTAATTTATTCTTTATATTCTCTAAAATTGAAAGTGTGAAACTTCAGAAATTCAATAAGGTCGACCTGTAAAGTAACGTGTAAAAGGGGGTCCTAAAATCATCAATATCATAAAATTATGATATAAATCTGAACGTACTTCTTAATTTTTTAACGCATTCTTTTTATTCAGATGATCTTTTATCTCATCAGTGATCATTGATTTTTATAATTGCAATCTTTAGTAATTATTATTGTATTAATATTTTTTAATGTTTTCATATTTTCATATTTTATTAATCTTTTGATTTTACAAAGTATAACAAATGCGTAGAAGCAGATTAATATAAGTTGGAATTTTGCATAGCTTCAATATGAGTATTATTATCAAGAACATATAACTAATATATATATATATATATATATATATATATATATATATATATATATATTATTATTATCAAACAACAGCAAATGTGGATAATGGCAATAATTAATGTAGATTAATTACAATATTCCGAACACAGCTGATAATTGTGTATTCATTTATCATTTTTGAACGCAATTAAACCACACAGGCAGATATCTGAAAAAAACTTATCGTGTTTGTTCTTAAATTAAATCGAATCAAGCGAAAATTTTTATATGTTGGTAAATGATAAATGGTTTTATATATTTCGTGTAAAATCATATAAAAAACAAACCTATTTCTTCTAAGTCGGGAGATGCTTCCATAGAGCTCATGCCACTGTCTTCCATTTTTAGCGAATTTTCTTCGAATTTCTTGATACATAGAAATAGTATAAAATGTAATTACGATTCATTGAATGAAATATTAAAATATTGTACTAGGCAATAATGTAAAAAAAATTACTAAAAATAAGTGCTTACATGCAATAACTTTGAAACTCCATAGACCATACAGAATAAAAATTACATAAAATACCTGACTACCTAATTCGCAAAACTATGTACAACATGCATATTTACAAACGTAAGCAGATAAAGGAAACATGCTTTTGTTCTATATAATTTAATAGTATTTATTCCCAAAAAATTTAATAATTTTTTTTTGTACTTTTACCTCCTAAAGTTTAATTGTTTAAAGTAAAACCATATAGAGATAGTATTTACAATAGAATTACAATTATTTACGCTCGATGCATCTACGTATATATCAAGGAAAGATAAATTGCTTGATTGAATTTTATAGAGGTAATTTTAGTTATTTTAACGATCCGAAAAAAATGAAAATTTAAGTAATTCAAGTACTTCTTTTTCTATAAAGGCTATAAGGTAATAATTTTATTGAAATTAATTATTAATTAATTAATTATTTTCAGCCAATAACTTTTGCGACAATAGAGCAATGAGTTGTACTCCATTTTAAAACATAAAAGTTCTAACCATAGATAAATAGTTCTAACAGAATTAAATCTTTGTGTATAGATATAATCTCTAACCAACTTTGTATTTATAATTGTTGCCGGATCCAAAATTTTTATCTGCAAATATTTAATTCTTTCCCAGTGCTAATTCCGTTAGTTTTCCCAAATTTTAAATTTTGGCAGTACATTGTATGTTTTCTCGAGCAAAAGATTCGGGTAAAGTTGCATTTGCATACCTTAATTTTAGCATAAATAGTTGTACATTTCATTAAGATTGCAAGCAAGAAGTATTACAAAGAAAAGTCTTACAATATAAATAATACAAATAAATAATCATTTAGTATCCAAAAACCAAAATGCTGTCAACCGACGTTTACAACCAATATATGTACAACAAAACTGACCACCGAAATTTAGCAAAGAAAACAAGACTGATTATTTAGTATATACCTCCTGATCGAATTTCAATTTATTGCAATAAATTGGTTGCTGTGTAATCAATTTTAAATTTCTTGGCCGCGGAATGGGTTTTGTAATGTTCTGATTTGGGCTCTCTTCATCAGTAAATGATATTCGAAAATCTTCAGAAATTTTGTTATTTTCTGAACTAACGTTGCCTAAAACAATAACTTAACAAATTAATTGAAACTTGTGGCGGAATTAGCTCATGTGTAGCGTTTCCGACTCACACGCCGAAGGTTCGAAGTTCGAATCCCCGGCGTAATATAGAAATTCTGTTAAAAAATAGTTTGAAATAAGAAGTTAAAAATAGTTTGAAATAATGTTAAAAATAGTTTGAAATAGTATTAAAAGTAGTTTAATCGTGTATAAAAAAGGTTTGAGAATAAAAATTAAATTGAATAGAAGTAATGAAAGAAGTAATGGAAGTAATGAAGATGTGAGAAGATAGAAGATATAATGATAGATAATGAAAGAAGAAAAAGAAGAAAAAGAAGTTGATGAGTACATAGAATATGATAGGATATATAAAATAGTATGAACATATGAAGATTGTATTGAAATTGTAATATTGTAATGAAATTAAAATATGTTGTAGGTGGCTAAATGCTCGAGTAAGCGAGGCCAATAAAAAATAATAAAAAAAAAAAAAAAGAATTGAAACTTAATGAAAGTGAAACTTTATTTATAAAGTCGTAACATGTTAAAAATAGTTTTTTGGACAAGCTAGAATAACACGTGTCACGATGTGATCGAACATTAATTTATATTAAAATTAATCAAATAAAATGTTTCTAAAAATTAGCAGAGAAAAAGTATTCAGCCGGTTAGCAACTTCAGCTTTATCAATTGTAAATAATCTGTTGCGTGGTATTCAATTTATAAAAAACAAAAGATTTAATTTCATAACATCGTTGATTGTGCTGCATGTTTTATTTTATTTCACTGACCTCTCACAAAGGCTTATGAAAAGTCATTATATAATGGTTAAATCCGATATTAATTTAGTAAATTATTTGAATGTTGATAATTTTTATCGTCATATATCTTAATATTTGACGCTGTATATTGTTTCTCATTAGTGATATAAGGAAAAAGTAAAAAAAGTATTTTGCCGCATTTTTATCACCCATTTTTCTGAATGTGCAACAAAATTGTACTAACATTAAATTAAATAAATGTAGGCAAATATATCACTTACTCGATTGAATGAGTTCATATATATGCTATAAATATAAATATTATGCTTTATGATATCATCAAGTAAACAAAATTTATATGATTATTTTCGTAAAAATTAAATAACAAGAAACTTTGTATACGTTTACTAGAACAGAAATTTCATTTAGATTAGTTTTAGGGGCTTGTCTGACATTCGAAGATATTTTGCCATCCCCAAGATAAAAATCGATCCACTATTATATGCGTCATGTTTATATTTAGAACGTCTTTCGCAACAAGGTATAATCAGTATATATAAAATAAAAGATTGTTAAAAAGCCAAATGGAGTCAGATTCATATTCTAGATTCTTTATATTATAATAATATAATTTCCAAAGCCGATTTGTTTTATACAACCAATTGCACCAATCGGTATTAGAATCATTATTATGATTGCAAAACGAATACCGGTGCACTTTTTTAATTCCTATTAGATTCAATTATACTATAATTATATTACAATTGAAAAATAGATATATCATTCAAGATAGTTTTCAATACGTTTTCGTTGTTTAACTGTAACTTTTCTTTTTCTTTTTCTTATGAAAAAGCCTTAAAGCCCTACATCAGCTTTGCTACCAGTTGATGGACTCATTCGTGTCCAACAATATAATTTTATACAACATAATAAAGCAATTAAATTGAGAATAAAATTAGAAACACATTAATTTCTGCATTGTACACATAGAAGATTTATAATTGCTGCAACATACGAAACCTATAAATTGGTCGAAATGCACCTATAAATTGGTCATATTATGAAAAGTACAAAATAGATATTGGTTATATCAATCATCTATTTGTGGCGCAACTTTTAACACATGTACTTGCTGGAGAAAATATTTCGCAAATTTATTCTATATCATTTTATTTCGATTATTAATTATATCGTGATTCAAGTGAGATTAATAAATTATTAAACTTACAGTTTTTCTTAAAACTATTGCACTGTCCTCTTTGGCACTCCTGTTTAATAATGTTAAAGTCTACGACTTCTGGTAAACTAGGATTTTCTGTAGGAATGTCGTATATATTCGTGCACTTGAAAAATAAAATATATTTACATTACTACAATTTTCACATCTATAGATAATTTGGAACAAATAAATACTTTTAATTTTAATTAAATTTTTAATGCTCGAAAGAGCTTCTATCGGTACATTTCGCTCTCATGATACAAACAAAATATTCACACATGCACATTGAGCGTTGGCAGAGTTGGCAAAATTCATGCAAAGTCCAAGATATGTATGTACTCAAAGATAAATTACTTCAAGATAAACAAATAAGTGGAGGGCTAGCAATGTTTTCCAAAAAATAATGGTTAATAATACACTTCAAAATCTTTGTTATGATGTATAGATTCACAACATCCGGAAATTATGTTATATAGCCCTTTCTTTTTAGCTCGGGAAAATTTTAACGAAAGCGCACATCAGGTCAGATTATACCCTTTTGTTTAAGGGAAACACAAACTTTATAAAAATAATTGAACAACTTTATAGAAATATATGAAACGATATATAAAACTATTTGCGGAATATAAAATAGCAACGGAATTCATTCTGAAAGTTAATGTGATTATGATAAATAAGACCTTGATTTCGGTGAATTCACAAAAATTAGCGCGTTTATAAATAGCATTTGGTACTCAATAATTTACCAAATTATATATTTATCATTTATTTCAATTAGAATTACATAAATTATTATTTTACAGATTAAGGGGGTATTCTGGTCTAGAAATAAAAAAAATCGATTTTGTTTTTTATTTTTGGATATTTTCATTTTCATTTGGTTAACTATTTAAAAATATGTGCACAATAGAAGTTTTCATAATTGAAATTATTTTCGGAGATATGGCTGGTTTGATCATGATAAATCTAGTCTGTTTCCTTCCTCCAAAACTGTCTTTTTCGATGTAATACCCACGATTTCTCAATTTTTACTAAACTGATTTATACTTGAACTTTTTACTTTTCGCAATAGACTTCCTTTCAGTATGAACTACGGTCATACCCTAACTACAATTATTGAAAAATTCGAGAATATAAAAATAGTTGTGAAATATATTTTTCTAGACAATCGCTATTCTGTGAAAAAATAATCATTTTAACTTATTCGTTTATACAATGGCGACTTATTCTAGAATTTAGAATCTAGAATCTAGATCAATACATGAATATACATATTTTTCTTCAGATTATTTGGAGGGCTAAAATCATGAGTACGGTCAGGGGTCAATTCTTCGAGAACCCACTTTATCACAGTCTAGAATGAAAACATTATGATTATTTATAATTTTTTAACTTCACGTAGGGCAAGTTATAGTAATCGCAAAAAAATCGAAAATGAAAATTTTTATATATCTTTACGTTTCAAAACCTTCTGAACATTTTGGCATACCTTAGAAAAAATGGATGTATGTGTGTGTGTGCGTGTATGTGTGTGTGTTCGGATACAAATTTTCGTCGACGATTTCGGGAACACGGATGAATCGATTTGAATAATTTAAAAAACATTCGATTCGTATTGATAAGGAGACGTGCTGATTAGTTTTTGGCAAAGGCAGGTCTAGCCGTTCCAAAGATATGGGGCAAAAAGTGCCAAAAACTATAACTCAGTTTTTAAGAGAACGGAGCGTCCGATTTGAATAATTCAAAAAACATATTACTTGTATTAACTGATCAAATTTTCATGGAGGCAGGCCTAGCGGTTTCGGAGATCTAGTAAAAAAAGTAAAAAAAAAAATGCCATTCGGCGGTCAAAAATGATCATTAGACATATGCACATCAAGTTATCAGATATTTTATAGAGATTTTAACAATAAGTATAAATTTTGTTTACATTCCTATGGGTTCCGTACCAATGTTTATCCGTTAAACGGCGACGCGTCGCTTACGCGCTTCGATATTTCGTCTCTATGCAGTTAAAGCAGTACGATTGTTTTGAAAAAAAGTTCCGAGTTTCCAAAATATGTCATCATGAAAACATCTTTCTTCAAAAAAAAAAATTTTTTTGTCAAATTTATAGTTTCTCAAAAATCTAATTTCTTCAAAGTAAATTTTTTTCAAAAATGTTAGTCTTTTCAAAATAATAATAAATTTTGTTACGGGAAGTTCCAGCAATTTGCCTTAAGGCACGATGCCATGCGCCCCACTAATTTTTACTTATATTCCCTAAACATTAACTATAATTACGTGTAACAAAAAATATAGTGAAAATATTGTTTGCCTTTTTTTCTGCTTTTTAAAAATCGCATACAATTCTTGCCTCTAGACCAGAATACCCTCTTAAACTATTTTATGACAAATAATTTAAAATTCCTGTTTCAAAGCAAGCGCTATTTTTTTAAATTTATATGTTCTATAATTAATTATCAACAAATTACCGTTATTCTTGGATAACGTTGCAAGCTCCTTTATTATATGTAAATCAACTTACCAAATAATGCAAATCTTTTCTTATGGGCGTAACAGCGTAAGCACTGTTTCGCTTATCAACGCCGTCTGATAAGTCATCCACACCAAAATCAAAAGCATTCGATTTATTTTCGGAACAATTTTTGGAAGTACGAGGAATATCTTTGGAACAACTTTGGGGAAATTGAAATGGTTCAGCGTACACTGGTTCAATTTTACGATTTTTTGAACTGATAGCGTAAACTGGTGAAGTCTGTGTGGAATTCCCGTTTGGAAGATTATGGGCTTGTTGGTTTCCAAAATTACTAGATGCTGATTTGGGTTGACTTGTTTTCTCTGGAGAGTTATTACAAAATATCTTATGGTTTAAATTATCACTTTTATTATTTGTTAAGGCACTCGTTTTTATATGTTCTAGTTTTAAAGCTTCTGGGTCAACTTGTGCGTTTTTGAGCGAGTCAGAAGCGCATTTTTTCACACTTTTATCATTATGAGTCAACAATTCTTCTAACCGTTTAAGCATATGGTTTACATCAGGATTCTTATTTTCCGACTTTTTTTCATCCTGCTTTCTAGGTGTTGTGGTAGGCTTTTCCTTCATCAAAGCGAACAATACGGAAGGTGGTGGATTTGCGATGGTTTTCTCTATTTTCTCTAAATTTGCACGTGAAATTACTGGCGATTTCTTAACTTTATCAACAGTTTCTGCATGTTTAAAGAGAAATGATCGATTGCTACTGACAGTGTTATCAGTTTCCTTGTCACAATTTTGATTGTGTTTGTTATCAGGACAGCGAAATGCTGGTTTACGTCTGATTTGTGACTTCCGCTTTGGGTCAATATCAGGACGATTAAACGCAAAATTAAATTTTTCTTGTTCCTCAATAAACACTGTTTCACTGGAAATATTCTTTTTGGAACAAGATTCTAATGAAACACTTTTGGTTAAATTATTTTCACTCCCATGAAGAGTGTGTTTTACTCGCGTCTCGTCGGATGCACTGCTATTGTATGTAGTTTTTGAATTGCCTTTGATGATACCGTGAGATTTGTCTTTTTCATTGTTAAGAATTTGTAGTTCAAACTTTTTTTTAATTGACTGCACTGAACTATTGCCATTGTCATTTGACATTTTTTGCATTAACGATTATTGTTCGATTTCTTTCAGGTCATTGTAAACATTAACTATAGAGACATAGTTGTAATTAAATATACTGTAGTGTAAATATGTTAAAATTTATTATACTAAAGCATAATATATTTTTACCAAAATATTTTCAATTGCTGAATAAGCTGGTAGCAAAAAATATAATGAATATACATTAATTCCTTAACCGATTCAGAAATAAAGTATTTTTATAACAAAATCATGAATGTAGAGTTCTGCTAAACATAAAGAATTTATTGTTTATTAATTGAGAGCTTCTTTTCGCGTATTTATTGATAAATTTCGATGAGTATATTTATGTTTATCGAGTTTTCTGTTGAAATTACACAGAAAAATATATGATGGAATTAATAACATTTAATAAAATAAACTTTCTTTGTTCAACAACGTCATATGATAATTTTTAGCGAACAAACTGTATTTTAATTCAGTGCTTCGGTTAACTTCCTTTTTTTTAGTAAATTTTTTGCTTTTAGTGTATGATTTGCTTTTTCTTCACAGGAAAATAATTGCGTTTTGGCATGAAAATGAAGTAATAGCCACTATGAACAAATTTTCTTAGATTCACAGCACAATTATAAAATTTTGGTAAGACTCTATATTTTAATTTAGTGCTTCGGTTAACTTATATCGGTTTTAATCATATTTTGCTTTTAGTGAAATTGCCTTTTTCATCACTTGGAACAAGGTTATTTTTTATATATTTATTTTTTAAAAATCACTTGGTCGTCTCTGATTTTCCCAGAACTTTAATTAATAATTACAGTCACCGAATTAACAAGGAGGTATAAATTATTTACTGGCAAATAAGTAGATGACAGCAATTTTTGTAATTTAAACAAGCCTTTTGTAAAGCAATTAAAGGCACATTCAATAGTTAATTTAATTAAATAACACTTTCCAAATAAAGTTTCTCAAGATTCGTCCACAAATAGACGAATTATTCACGTATTATTTCATTCCGCACCATAAAACCTATTAATATCCATTAGTAAGTAAACACACGACTTTTTTTAGGTTAAAAAATCCAAACGTCCGCACTTATTGTAAGCAAAATAATAAAACTAATAAATTATTACGTGGGCATGTACTCTATTTACATTTATGCAAAAGGAATTAATTTTAATTAGCATTTGAACTCTGGCAAACTATGTAAGCGGTGCACTAATTACAGAATAATTGGTGTTACACGAGCAACAAGGAATGGATAGTAGATGCACACCAAAGCTCTGGCACTTAAATTACTGTTATGCTATTATATTGTAACAGCTAAGCTAATATTGATATTGAAAATAAATATTTTTATCTTACTTTGACAGAACTAAATGACACAACCACTCAACGCAAACACATCGTATCAACACGCCTAGTAACCAAACAACCCAACTAACCAGAACAAATCTAGGTTACTTGGAGTTACTACGTTGCCATGTGATAAAAGTGGGAAAATACAATTATTTTAATGGATATAAGTAAAAGACGAAGATATGCTTTAAAAACAATATTTTATTTGTTCAATATTTGAAGTTGTTTTTCTTTTATTTGATAGACGTTTAACAAATTTAAAAAGACTCTTCGACTTAATTAAAATATACTTTGTTGTTTCATATGAATATATTATTTTTTTAAATTATCTAGGGTTTGTTAACCAATTTTTTTTTTTAAATTGGAAAATACATTTATTTTAATGGATATCCCTAGATAATATAATAATATATATAATGGATATCAGTAGAAAGACGAAAAGACTAAAATAAAGACTAAAAGACAAAGATATGCTTCAAAAACAATATTTTATTTGTTCTTTTAATTCATAGATTATTAACAAGTTTAAAAAAAAACTCTTCGACTTAATTAAAATATACTTTTTTGTTTCATATGAATATATTATTTTCTAATATTGTCTAGGGTTTGTTCACCAATTTTTTTTCAAATCTAATTTTGCTTGATCTAAGAGAGTCTGTTATAATTGTTATTAATTTGTTACGCAAATGTTATCGTAAATACTTTTCTCAAAAGCATTCACATAATATTATGTGAATGCTTTTGAGAAAAGTATTTACGTTATTTTGATATCAAAATAACTAAGCTCAAGAAAAATAAATTTATTTACTTAATGTATCAAAAATTATCGATATAACAAAATATTTGCAAAAATTCACATTTGGCGACGAGAGATTCAATACAAACAATCACAAAATCCACTAATATTATCTGTTTTTAAATACAATATCCTATCGCAACATTAAATAATAATTGCATTTTGGAATGAACTAAATATTTCTCTGTAACTTTGACTTTTACACCCGTATTTAAAAATATGGAGAATTCAATGATAGTGATTTATAGTAATCTTCTTATTTCCGCTCAGTTAATGAATTAGAATATTATTATTAAAAATATTTATTTTATTAATTTCATATTGTAACAGTAACGAGAACGAGAACGAGAAGTTCAGTTCCATGAGCTCTTGTGTTCGAAATTTTGTTTTCTCGCTCCTTTTTTAGATGGCAACCCAAATGTTATCTAACTATATTTAATATATTATTATTATTATTTAGATTTTTATTCAATACTACCTAATCCTATTTTGTTACTTGCATCGAATTAAAATCATGCAATCGAAAGTTGAAAATGTGCGCAAATTTTCATATGGTTCTATTTGAATGTACTCTCAATATATTCAAAGAGACCATCAATTTTTTAAATGTTTTTCAAAAACTTTAATAATTGGTCCTTCAAGATCAACTTAGATTGAGAAAAATAGAGCTATACTCTGAAGAATGTTCATTTTATTTTATAAATATTAAAAATCAGTTATTTATCAAGTATTTTCTTTCTATTTTTGTAAAATACCATAACTCATGTATTTTACCCACTAAATTATTTACATTTTTAAGCCATATTTTACACAAAATTAGAAAGTTTATGGACGTGATGTTTTAATAATAGTTGACTTTGAAAAAATTCTTTGAAAACATGAAACAAACACTTTAACTTTGCTGATTATTAATTTGTTGTAGTTTATTTTCTGAACTCAATACAATTTGGTCTGTTGTATGAATATAAAAATAATTCTCTTACACATATTTCGAATGAATTCTCTACTTGTAAATATACTTTTGCAAATAACAAATCATAGAATATTTTTTAATGTCTGTGTTTCAGCATGCATATATGCTCTACATCACAAATTTTGGATCTATATCACAATTGCAACAATTTATTTAAAATTTGTACCAATGAGCCTAGTAAAAAAATTTGTACTCTAATTTAATATATATTTTGAAACACAATATTTTCTCTATAAAATTTATGTTAGACCCAATCTTAATATGTTTAACACTTCTTTTTATTTGCTTTGTCTTCTGTGCTCGAGTCCGAATCAGAAGATATTTCAGAATCATCATTTTGAAAAAGTAAACTTCTATTTTCCCTGTTTTTCTTCCTTTTCTTTTTATCTGCATCATTCCCATTTACTTGATTATTATTAGGTTTGTGTCTAAATTCATCAATTTGGTTTTCGTCATCTGAAATTTAGTGAAGTCATGTTAAGTTAAATGTATACAAAAATTAAATGTATGCATATCGAAACAAAATTACCTGTATCTACTAAATCATATATATGAGAATGATCCTTGAGCACAACATAAATAACCGGAAACTCAATAATTATTTTATTTTCTAAATTCTTTCTCAATGATTCATTCGCATCTAGCTCGTGAAACTTGTTTTTAGAATTTTTAACAAATTCAGCTTTCAATAAAATTTTTATTCCTGATAACCCAGCTGACTGATAAAACATTAGGCTATCTTTTTTATAAAACGGTTCAGAGTCAATTCCGATATATTTATTTATAAGTTTAGATAATTTCTCATTTTCATCGCATTTTTCATCAACAAATTTGACATTTTCTGCATTAGGGAATATCCATTCAATTCTCCATTGTATAACATTAGATTTCCAATTCAGGAAAGTAGTATTTTGTTTGTGTCGTTCAAAATTTTTTGTTAAAAATTTCAATACTGTGCCTCGAGTCGTAGCCGCAGCGCGTAATTTATACAAATGCTAAAAGGTAAAAGAAACAGAAACTACATAAATAATAATCAATGATAATTGAAATTTTGTTGAAGATATTTGGGCAAGGAATAAATTATATAATAATATGGCTACAATAAGCTTCACATTAAGATACGTTAAGACATAATTATTTAATAAAATTATGATTCTTACCATCGGCAACTCTTTGTCAATCCTCGTATTCTGTTTATCTTTATTTTTTTTCCAACTTTCAACATTTCTGCCACATTCTTGTAGTAATCGAAAATCACTAAGAAAATCCAAGTTGGTGAATTTTTCCTTTGATATAAATTTTGTTCTATCTCGAATGCCATCACAGTTCAATTCTTTTTTATGAATATTAACACATGTTATACAGCAGGTTTTGACTTCACATTTTGGACAGGTGTACTTTGCATTATGTTTATTACAAACTTCACATAAACCTAGCCTGTAATAAAATAATTCTGAATTTATTTCTTTCTTTTCGAAGGAGTGTTGAACAATATTTTGAGAAAGTTACTGTTAATTATCTTACCTGCATGGCCGTTCTTCATTATGATCTGAGATTAAATAATCCATTTCCATTTATTTAATTATATTATTTCATGAGAATCAATGTTTTTTCATTGAGCTTCGAGCACGTGTATTTCACTGAATGTAATTTTTATAAAGTGATTTGATATTTGTATTCACCTAACAGAATTTATATAATTTTAAATGCTTATAAAGTGTATACTATATTTATTATTTGTTGAGGTTATATTCATTTGAGTAATAAATATAAAAGCATGCTGAATGACATTTAGTAACACGTGGAGGCCTCTCACGCAGAACAGAAGTTACAGATTATTTTGAGATAAGCATGGGTTCAGTAAGGCGTATATTTATAAACCCAAGTATATTACCTGATTTTAATAAAAGTTTTAATTATTTACACCCTTATTTATGTGTTTATTTTAATTTATTACGTACTATATAACAAAATGAACGAAAAATGTATGATATTAAATTTTTTAATACCTTTAATATCTTTCTTAGACCTATGTTAGCAGTAGCTAAACCGTTTTATTCTTTGTACTGCTTTTCAAGATTGGGCTCGGCGTTACTCGCCTTCTAGACAAGTTTACAAAACAGATATTTTTCTTAACAAAAAAAAATATTGAAGGTCTATAAACAAAATTGTAATATGTAATGAAAAGTTACTTCTATTATTGAATTAAAAAACTAATTAATTGCAAGTGACATTTTGTTTTAAGACAAATTGCATGAATTTCTTGTTACACGCAAATATTTGCCTTAATCAATTAGAATTGACATTTAGCAAATTTGTAATTTGAGGCCATAATATTTTCAAATGTTTATTATAAAGATGTAACATAATTAACCCTTTAGCTTGCAAAGACGTCTCAGAGTAGTCGCAGGGTTATCGGCCCAAACATGAATAGGTACAAATACAATTGTATTCATCTTTTAAAAGATTTTTACAATTAGCGCGTGTATATATATACAAAATTGTTTGTGAAGAAGGAAAGTTTGTGATTTGCACAGTTTCGAACGATGAGCAAAGTTGTTGTTTATTTCTCTGCGCGCGACCGTCCCTTGGTGTCGCTTTTGGATATTCGATCGTACGGGAAGGGGTTAATATAATTTAATTTTATACAATTTTAGGGTAGGAATATTTGTGAACTTAACATTACATTAAAAAACATTACATTAAGTCAAAAAGTTTTACTAAAATAATTCGGCGGGCCAATTTTCATCAGAAATTAAAAAACACGGATCTCAATTGTCTTCAAAACTATATTGTTCAAACTGTTTCTGATTTTCGAAATAAGTCAATATTTTTAAATTTTTTTTGCACTTTTCTGCTGTTTTTAAGAAAAGTGCTCCAGCCAATTTTTGCATAATTCTAACCAACTCGAGTATTTATCGAGTTTCATCTTTTGTTATTTTAAGTCTTTGAAATCGGTGAAATTGTTTTTCAGAAAATGTCGACAAAAATGAAATATTCGCTTCTATAAATAGTCACACTCATACACAAACATACATTTTTTAATTTTGGTGTCAAACGATTCAGAACGACTTGAAACTTCAAGAAAATAATCAAATCGGATTTTCTTCAAAAAGTCAAAAATGAAATACATTTACTACATATTTTTTTAGCTATTCTTCAAAGTTTGGTAACTTGGTGTTATTATTTCAGGTGAGGGTCTGTTCGGACGTATTTTTATTTTATTATATTGTCCATGAAGGCGGCAATCTTAATGGCATTGAGCTTTTAAACCGGATGGTTTATACCCTCTAGAAGGGGTAGCGGGATTTGGATCGGACTTATTTTTCTCACTTCTAAAACAAAAGTCCGTGTAACAACACATGTAAAAATCAGTGATTGTAACAAGAACTGCAACGAATATATAAATTAAATCAACAAATCAGTGTTTAATACAGTCCACAGCTACAAGGGACACCCTGAGTTAATCGAAGGAGAAACTTAATACGCACATACAGAGTCAGTTAATTGTGCTAAGTACTTGAATTTTTAAGTGAAATGAAATCATTTTCAAAAATATGTTGCATTATACATTAAAATTATTCTACAGAACCTTAAAAACTCATAATTTAGAACAAAATCCAGAACTCAATATTCATTTAAGGTACATTTTCTGTACTATGTAAAATCTCTGTAAAATATTCTAGATGTTATCACTATTTGCATTTTTGGGTCACGTTTGTATATAAATAGTTCATGTGTTTGAAAATTTTAAATCTGCATAATACAAAATTTAATTAGCTTCTTCTAGAGCTCTTGTAATCGAACTATTGTGAAGTCTTGTACTCATACATTTTTTGTAATTCTAATTTAAATCACATTGTTGTAATTGAACCGCAGCAAATCCGTTATGCGTCCTTGCACAATTGTTAGTATTAACGAAGTTGAGCAATTTTATTCATAACAATTTGGGACATAAAAAATCTTTGACAGACGAACTGTATATTGTATTTCTGAGTCAATGCATTTACACACGTTACTACAACTGGGTATTGATAGATTAATTTCAAACTAGAAATTGGAACAGACAATGGTTCACTATTTGATAATGAAAATAAAAACAATGGAATGATATTAGCATCTGTGCCAACATGTTGTACCACAAAGAGAAATGAAATTTCATATTGTATTCTAAAATATCTTGATATAATAAAATTATCATATAAAATTGCAATACTTATTTCTAAGGATTTAGTTTTGTAACGTTCTATGTTCTATAAGAACTTCAGTAAAACATGCAAAATATTTATTGAAAATATATATTTTTTTTATTAACGACAGATTTCACCATTACTAATACATCCACGGTGCCTATTTTACATATAAGGTAGGTCGGGTCACAAAGGTCTAATTTGACTTGTAAAAAATATTTTAGGAAAACCAAACCAATTATATTACAACAAATAAGACATATAAAAAAACAGCTATTGGGCTATGTTCAGTAAAATTTACAGCTAATTCATCATTGCAAAATATGTTATTTCCTGTTTTCTGAAAAAAATGTTACCTGGTCCTTTACCCAACGGATCCAATGTCTTACTAATAATTTTAAAGGGATTTTTCAAAATAATAGCTACATTATTCAACCAATGCAAAATATAAATTTCAATGGTATATTTTTTACAGAGATAACACTTGATTTGGTATTTTGTAAGAAATTTTTATCAGCAGAATTGGAGTAACTAATAATCTAAGTTATCTATTATAAAATTGCCTTTTCTGAGCATTTTGAGCTAGTTCACTTTTTTATTTACTATTTTTTTCAATGAGCCCAGGGCAGAGGTTTAGTTGGTCCTCTTTACCCCACTCACGTGTAAGTTTTTATAGAGGCTATATGAAAAACTGTTGAATCTAAGTTAGATTTAACAATACAATTAAATAACGTATACTTAAAAATTAAATTCTTACATACAATTTTTTTGACAAGGTAAACTTGATGCATCTACCTCATACTGTTATGTGAAGTACCAGGTCATATTGAAAATTTAGCTTTTTTGATATATTCTACGACTCTTGAAAGATGCAGAACTAAATTGCTTTTTCCTTTACTAATGTTACTTTTACTTAAGGAATAAACTAGAGAGGGCAATAGATCATACGATTCGAGATTAGAGGTAACAGCCAAATTCCAATTCAATAAAAAAAGAGGAAATTTTATACTTTTCACTAAAAAGCATACTTTTCGTGCTAACAATAAGATTGAGGATACGAGATAAAAAATATTCGATTAGTTTTGTATTGCACTTACAATTAGAATTTAAGTATGTTAGGTTGTATTTGTTGGTATCGTTACGCCCAGATATTTTTTTTTTATTCGGTAAATTTTCTATAGATATTTTTTTTATTTATTGTTTTATTGATTCTATATACGAGTACATTAGTCATTTACAAAATACTTAAGTCTAACCATAATTATTCTACTTCTACCTTTATCTTGTTGGATTTAATATAGGCATATTAGGGCATCATATATTCTTTTTTCAGTCATCAGGTATTTTCGATTTATATAACGAATATCTACCACTTAAAGAAAGTGATGGCACATTCTATTGGAAGTTAGACTTTTAGAATTTTTTCACAATATCTCACTAGTTCATCTAATCTTTTAAGGTATTTGTACGCAATATTACGATCTCGTTAATAATGCTGTTCGGCGTTTTCTAAAATTCTTTTCTCATAGTGCAAAGGGCCGACTAGTTTTTTTTACTGTCAATAGGTTCATGTGTTAAAATGCGTGTTTGTTTTGCAATAGTTGACAAATTCGTAAGTGATAGATGTTCTTCACGTGTGATATTTTATGTAGTTAATTAATGGCTATTATCATATGCAAATGTGTTGGTGAAAATCTAGAGTTTTTTATGTAGCAAGGTGTTAAAGTTTTTTTGCTTCGCATGTTTTTAAATATTTATCCTTCTTTTTATATGCCCTCAAAGATATCGAGTGTTGTTTTAAAGAATGTGTTAAGTTGTGAAAATTTGTACTGTGACATTTATGGCTGATGGTGTAATTAAAGCCTGAACAACAATAAAGAATTTAAATGTGAATTAAATAATTTATAGATAATTTTGTTTTAGTACATTATTTATAAAATATATTTTTTAAAACATTTCTATCCCATTTAATTCAATATTACTTTTATTATACTTCTGTAAATCAAATTATTTTTTGCACGATTAATAATCATTCAAAATTGAATTTGAAATTTTTTTTGTGCCTTATTCAAAATATGTATAAAAGTGATATAAAATGAATTGAGTCAATACCATTTAATTGCAAATTTCAAAATAAGACTTAAAATGTTCGAAAATTTCAATTGTTCAATGAAAACTTCAATGATGTTTTTTATCAAAAATAATATTTTTCTAATGATAACTACGCTTTAAGATTTAATATGGAATTTTGATATTAGTTCCTAGATTTGTTATTTTTCTTCGGATTATTATGACATTAGAGAGTGATTTTGATTCCGTCAAAAAAGAGTTCTAGTAGACATATGAGAATCCTTATCTTCTATGTCATAATATTGGGTCGCATATTTCTATGGCAAACGAAATTGCATATAAAAAATCCTTGGTATATTTCGAATCTATTACATGATCT